AAAATGGATACATGTTTTTTGTCTTTCACCATTAGGACTGTAACATTTTTAATTTGAAATGTCTTAAAGAGAAAAAAGAATTAAGCCAATTACAGACTCAGTTAAAAAGTAGCAACATTTGCAAACAAAGAAATCTTTTAAAGGGTTCTAAAACTTTTAGGCTGTAGAAATCCCCCCCCCCCCCAAAAAAAAAAAAACCCCCAAAAAAACATCATAATTCACCAATTCAAACCTTGCATGAGATCACTGTAGTTTAAGGCCAATATAGAATTTAAATCATTATCAGTTAGACAATTTTTCAATAGTTTAGTTCTTTGATGAATTTAAGTAATGATAATTAAATACCAGCACCACAGTGTTACAGAGCTAGGTGTTATGACCTTGACCAATTCAAATATTATACAGTTATAGCTAAGTTTATAAATATGCGCTTTCATCTACTACGTACATAGTAATAATGACTAGTTAAATTGAGCAAACAATCTTTGTTCTTTGATAAAAATTTTTTGACATTTTCTACTTGCTTCTATAGTCTACAACATATATCAGCAATCTGATAGTAACTGTAAAGTAACTAAGACATTCATATCAGCAACATTTGTAGTTAATGATTTTTTCCAATTTTTAAGTGGTACTGAAAAACAGAAGGTCCTTCCTTCACAATTTTCAGAATGTGTTTGACGGACCCAATTACAATTCTGCAAAAATTCACAATCTACATAAATTAAGCTTACAATTACGTCTTATGTATAACAGTGGTTAAAATGGCAATTTGCCTATGTGTTGGTGTATTGTAATAATTTTAAGTGTTATGTTACTGCCATTATTCACACCGCAATTTGAATTACCTTTAATTTGATTCAGATATTATATAATAAGTATATTCTGTGTGAAATATCTGAAAAAGGGTCCAAAATAGTATTTTTGGTGTTAGAAAGAAAAGGAACAGAATAGATAAATACCAATCTGAGTATAGTATGACTAAAGTAACTGTGTGTATTGACTATATCACTATCCTCAAAGTAAAGAAACATTGACCAGTGATATAGAAACATATTCAATTTTTTTTACATTTCAACAGTCGTCTTGCAAGCTCAATAGGTAGGACTTTGGACAGTGAATCGGGCGACCTGTGTTCAATTCCTGGATGGTGCAGGTGAATTTTGTTGTGATTGATTATGAAATCTTTTCTACAGTCATTCACACAGTACCTCTGCTCTGGCATGTACAGAAATTTCAGTTCCTTGTGAAAAAGGAGGCAACTTATACTGGTTAACTGATGACAGCCTGCCCAAGAACAATGCAGTGGCTGAACTGTGCTCTGGTAAATTCAATGTGGCTATCTGTCGTGTTCTGGAGTGAAAATTAGCAACACTGCCACCGCATTTCACCAGTGATCACTATGGTAATGCAATCATCAATGGCATTTTTCGTATGACTTCAGGTCACTGTATAGATTAGTGACCTGAATAGTAAAGAAACCTAGCACCAATGACCGCAAAGGTAAAGACAATTTCTTGTAACCTATAAAGTAAATAAATCCCCAACATTTACTAGTGACTTCTGGTAACCTCAAAAGTAAGAGACCTTGACATTAAGCAGCAATCTTTACATTTACCTTGACTTTTTACAAATGACCTCAATATAAATCTAAAGTCAACATTGTCTTTAAATATTTCAGATTTTATAATTTCATCCTCTTTATTTTAAATACTTGGAAAAAGAAAAGAAAAGAAAACAACATATGAATGTATAAAAAATTGCAGTCATATTTCACAAAAATATAATAAATAAAGCATTCTAGATGCATTTGGGCTTTAGAAAAGAACACTAAATCTTAAGATTTAAATAATGAGAAAGAATAATAAAAAGTTTAGTATTGATATGATATGAAAAAAAGGACAAAACAATTAACAAGTGTGAGGTATTTGCCAAATAAATAAAAATAAACTAAAAATAATCAACAAGAAATAATAAACGTTATTTGTAAAAATATATATATATAATATATAGCAAAATTGCACTGATAACATACTGTAAAAAACTCAGTCAGTCACACATTTCAATGCACAAAAAAGGAAAATAACAGGGCCATGATTAGCCCTTTTTATTGCTCACATGTATATAGGCAATATGACAAAGGATTAATAAAAATGTATATCAAGCCTTGGTTATCCTGACCTATGTGACCTCAAACCCAACAAATAGGTTGATGTCAATATAAGATATTTTTTCTCCTTTTTTTTATCTGTAAGTCTAAATTTGCCTAATTAAATCAATTTAAATTTTGTTTTAACCAATCAGAGATGCTGCAGGAAATGGAAAGTGATTTATTGTAAAAAATCATAAATATAAGCTCATCCAATCTGTACATTATATCAGGCACAATTAAGCATCCAAATAGAATCACTGACCTTCAGTATGCTAACTGGATAGCTTCTTCAACTCAAAAAATCCAAAATTTCCTTGCAAGATCTGAATCCACAGCAGTGAGGTTCAAGTGATTTGAAATCATCAACCTTGACCTGACTCGGCCACTGAGAATCATGTGAGATTCGGACAATTTTCCTTATATAAAAAAATGATTTAGAAACATAATGAAAATCAAACAATCACAAAGATTCCATGGTTACTATTTAGTTGCATTTTTTACAAGATTTACAGACCATTACCTACTTGTAATGTAAAAAAAGCACTATCAATAAATCATTACTCACTGAACAAGCTACTGCTTTATTGAAAAAAAGCAACAACCTTCATGTGTAGCAAAACCACACTCACTATTATAAAAGAATATATTTTCTACCAACACCAAATATGCAAAATTTTAAATACAGCATTGTTATTTAAGAGTAAATTTTATACAAATACAAATAAGTAAAGTAAAATCAAATTTTCCCAAATTCCATTTAAAATCTTTTATACCAGCCCAAATATGCAAAATTAAATTTTTCAAAAATTTCAATAAGTACCTTTAATGCCAACCCCAAAAAACATATGTATGCAAAATTAAACTTTCCTAAGTTTCTTAAAAAAATCTTCTCTACCAACCCAAAATATGCAAAACAGATGTTTTATAATCTTCATTTAAAACCTTTAACAACAACCCAAAATATGCAAAATCAAATTTTAATAAAATTTAATAAAAACATATATACGTTGGTTACACAAAGACATAAGAGAATCATCAAACAATTTCCAAACTACAGTGATAAATATAAATTAGAATACATATGTACATGTATAATACAATAATACAAGCTAAAAATTTACACTTTATCACATACTATAACTGTAAAATAAAAACAGAAATAAATATATAAACAAATATTTGCAAAACATACAAATAGCTTGATATGGTACACATTTACATAGTCCTTGTTATTGCATGTATATAAATTTTTTTGACAGTTTATATGGTTGGTTGTAAGCTTTTATGACCTGAACTGCTATGTGAAAGTTATATAGCTAGCAACCATTTATACATGCCCAGTCAAAAATCTTTGGGGAAAAAAAATCATAATACAACAAAATTCTTTCATTTGGGGAAAAAATGAAAAATACTTAATAAATTAACAGTACTTGTGTATACAGACTATATCAACCTAATAATTATCCAATGAAAATTGATGTTACAAACAAAGTCTAAATACAACAAAATTTCTTCATTTGGGGAAAAAAAAAAGAAATATACATGTAGTTACATTATGCCCATCCAAGGGTATATAGTGAGTGAACGGGTGAAGATCAAAATAAGTTTTCATTTTGCCATTAATCCTTTCAATTTAATAATTAAGTCCGCATAAACAATAAATAACACACAGATCCAAATGAAATTTCTGTAAATATCCATTAGAATTTACCTATAACGCTTAGATTATTAAAAGAGTGGGGCAGTCTTTTTAAATTTAAGGCAAATTTATAATTTTTTCCTAAACATTTTCCAATATCAACTGTTGGTCAAACACCATTTTGACAGTCAATCTTTTGAAATATAAAGTCAACTTAGCTCAACTTGACAATGAAAATATAAGCATAATGTCACTTTAACAGTACTAGTGTATACAGATTATATCAAACTAATAATTATCCAATGAAAATTGATGTTACAAACATGCAGTACATGTATTACAAACATTATACATATTCATATCTCATGAGCAAATACAACAACATAGAATAAATCTCCTACAGATATACAACATTCAACAATTTAAAGAATTTTAAGGCATATAAAGCCTCAAAATCTGATTTTCCTTTGAAAGTGACCTTATGCTCATTATTTCCTTATAAAGTTGAGCTAAATTAGCTATTTATGTCAAATTATTGAATAATTTGTCATAAAAAAACAAAGTTTAAATAAAGTGGTATTTTGCTTTTTGCACCAAATATTTGAACCAAATACTATATCACTTTTGCTTTTAGTACCAAATACTATATTACTATAACATCACTAATGGTCAGAATTAAAATGTGGTTTAGCTATATGGCCAATGTGTTACGCTTAGAAAACCGAACATCAAAAATAAAAAAAGGTTTTTAAGAAATAGAAATTGCAGCATTTTTGGGGAGCTTTTAGCCCATCAAGTCCAAAACCCCTATCATTTTCATGGATGTTAAATACTACATGTTTACATTTGCTAACTTTGAGGCAAATTATTTCTCATTCATCGCTACTTATTTCAGGTGATAAGCATCTAACATGCTCTAAATACACTGTGGAAACATTATCTAAAACATGTTTTCCCATTTCTGAATTAAAAGAAATCATTTCTGAGGCTTTAATGTTTTCTTATAATAGCCATGATGCCTTGTCTATGCTAACAGTATAAAGGTATGGCCAGATTTTATTTTCCTGGCTGTTTATTGATACTAAAAATCCCATATAACCACAATGGACTGGTCTAAATTCAAAGCTTGACAAGTCCATTATAAAAAAGACAAATAAGAGTTAAACATGCTTATTGGTGCTTAAATGTCTTATAATGTCTTATGTCTTAAATGTCTTACAATGTTTCATACTGCTTCAGTAACAATGATATGTACCAGTCATATAAATCATGAATAAATTTCAAATATTTTCACATTATTTCCGCAATTTTCATGAAAAAGCTCAGAAAATGGCTCTGAATGGATGAAGCTTGACATTTTACCAAACATCCGTAAATTTCTGAAACAAAATTATAATATGGCACTATGAAGCCGCCACTGAAGAACCACTGAACTACGGAGAGATCCGGATGCACACAGTCAAGCTTGTTTTCAGATACACTTATCAGATTTTATCATTTACGAGTCTATGTTGCGGTATGAGCCTGCTAAACAGTCCAATGTTTCATCTTTGCAAGTAATTTCCGGTTTACCAAGAGCTTTAACTAGGCCGTACCTCGCTTCCTTTATAAATTCATCTTCTGATGACAGTAAAGTTTTTGTCCATTCCTGTTAGAAAGAAACAAACATAGGATATATCAAGAGCAGACAGACAGCTTCCCTGAAAATGAAACAAGGGTCATGAAGTTAACATTGACATACATGTATGCAAGAACATTTTACCTCATGAGTCTCAAGTTATATGAAAAAACATTAAACTTATTAGTGAAAGGCTTAAGTTATATGCAAGAATACTACCCCAAACTTTTTACCTATTGTATAGATAATGTAGTATGTACTGAGTATATACCGTGGGTAACCGAGTTTTTAAAGAAAATTTTACCCTTACATTTATTAGTGATTCTTCAATTATATGGGGAAAAACCCCAACATTTTACCTAATATAACCCCAACATTTCACCTAATCAATAAAAGGCTAAAACTAAAATGTATATGCAAGAACATCGCACTACATCAATGAAATGCTTAAATTATATGCTAGAACATTTTACCTCATTAGTGAAAGGTGGTCCTGAGCCTCTGTACTCTGATGGTATATACTGTGGTTCTATGAACTCTGATAACTCTTCATATTTAGTTCCATGAAAATGAATCTACAAAACAAGAAGTAAATATGCATGTATATTGAATTCATAATGAAACCTTAGATATAGATAATAACAGTTCATTCCTGTGTTTGTTGATCTGTTTTTACTGCCTCCGTGGCCGAGGGGTCAGAGTCGATGACTTCTTATCCAGTTACCTCTCTGGCGTCGGTTCGATCCCCGGGCGATGCTTTGGTAGTTTAGCGCGGAGGTAGGTAGTCTAGTACTGGTGTAACTCTCCAGGAACAATGGTTAGGAAACTACCTGCCTATATGACCGAAATACTGTTGGGAAAAGGCGTAAAATGAAACAAACAAACAAACGCCAATTTTAACACAGTTTTGGCAAATCATGGCAGTTAGTCCACATAAAAGTCTTTCCTGAATAACTTAGCTGATATTACCAATTTCTCTGCAAGGATCGACCATTAATTCAAAAATTAATTCCAAACCAGTGGTGAGAGGCATATCACCATCAGACACAATGTTCAAGATCAATTATTGTCACAGGGAAATTTCGCCTAGTCTGAAGATTGAACCAGCGACCCATAGATAACAAATCCATTTTTGGCCTAATTAAGCCAAATTGGCGGACAATAGATAACATTTATAATTAACCCTTGAACAAAAACGCACCTAAAGTCATCCAAAAGCCCATAAATAAATGCCATTGTAAATAAAACCATTCAGTTAATATATGAAGCTTTACTCACTCTGTCGAGTATTTTCTGTTTCATAAATGGTCGTATGACAGCAAATATCATGTCAAAAATGACTGGCTCATTCACATAGTGAATACCTTTGAATCTCATGGGAAAGCTATCCTGAAAGTTAGAAATAAAAACATTAAATGTATGAGAGCATATATTGAATCTTGTGCTCATATTTTTGCAATGAAATTATGTGGAAGAAAATTTTTGTAATCATTAAAAATGCACAGCAATTGATATTTCTAGACATAATTTTGAAAAGTGGTGTCACCATTATTCTGAGATGTTACTGTATTACATTGATATATCCAAAATTATTTAAGTGTTACTTGTAAACAATTTTGAGCTAAACATTAAGTAGTCAGATACCTTTAACAAGTAAGCCTTAAGTTAACACATCTTTGACCTTTGACCAAAATAATCATGATCTGTGTTTTAAATATTGAATTGATTGTACAAACTTTTAATTTGTATTATCATTTGTAAACATTTTCTGGCAGTATGCCAATATTACTGTCTAAGAATATAGTATGCAAGCAAGATTAAACTTCAATAAAATTAAGATGCATTTCTTATATTTCTTAAAAAGTTAGTTTGGAACATGATTACAGAAAGTTTAAGAATTGCACATCAAGGGAAGGTCAGTAATACCAGGGTGGCAAACCAGTGTGACTTTTCGATAGGATACATGCCATGAACTTTTTCCTAAAGTCACATGGATTCCCAACCCCCTGAGTACTAGAACTTGCCAAACACCAATTTAAATTGCTCTTATTACAGGTCAGCAACTATTGAAAAGTGTCCGTTTATTTACAAACAAATATATTAATACATTGCACATAGCTGATGCTTTATTCCTACAGTTTTATAACTGACCATCTATAAGGGACACGCTGCTAATGTTTTAAAAGAATCACACCCTTTATAATTATATAGAAAACAAGTTTTTCCCCCTAATTTAATGTCCCTTTACACTGTAAAGGTCATATGGCAAATTTCTATCTTAACTGATTCAGGAAAATCTCAGTGCCGCTCTGTATATTTATCTTAGATCAAGTACCCAACGTAGATCCTGAGCTCACCTACAATAACCCAGCTAGATAGCTTTTTCACATGAATGAAGTCCTATTAAAGTATGGTTTTAACCCACAAAGCGCTTGGTCATTGCAGCCCTCAGTATCATAACAATGAAAGAAACTTGAATACATATACAATATTTAACGAGTTGATATACAGAATCAAATAATTGTGCAGCAAATAAATAAATGTGGTAACAGTGCACAAAGATATGTGGAGACACAAACAATACCAACAATAATATTGTTTAAGAAATAATAAGAATTCTGTGAGCAATAAATAGATATGATGAAAAGAGATATCATTCACAGCTAATTTCTATTTTAAGCTCTCATGTGTTTTGCTTGTGATCACATTATGCCCTGTAATAATATACGTAGGAGTAATTTCTAACAGCTATGTTTGATTCACAGGAGTTATTTTTAACAGTTATGTTTAATCTAAAGATAATTTATGCTTAAATGTTGTAGATCATGCAATGGGTTAGTTTATAGAAATTTATTTGTTCTAATTTTATTGGTTTGTGTTGAAAGCTAAAAAAATAAGTTTGTTCACTGAAATACTCTCAAATCCATTCTTAGAACCAACCATTACTAAGAACTTGGTGTAAATTTTCTTGCCCACCAAAACAACAATTATAATGCCCCTATCAGGGTTTGAAACAACAGCCCCAGGTCAGCAATCTTAATATTACTAGTCTGATGGTTAACCACTCGGCAACGTCACCATTACATATATTAAATAGAAGTACAACTACAATACCTGCAATAAGCCAATAATTCTTCTAGCTAATAAAGGCTTTAATCGTCGGGTTTGTTTCCAGCCCATACTTTTGAGATCAGCGAGTAAAATAATACCACTGATCTGGGCCTCTTCTTCCTAGTATAGCAGGGGTAAACAAAAATAATAAAGCCAATAAATATTAACTAAACTAATAATGCCATGCTGGTGTAAAATAAGTACATGTAAAACTAAATGAAAAAATAACTAAAAAGAAAACCAAGGGATATGTATAAAATGTCAAATCTGTCTCAACATAAACTATAGTAAAACCATTTTAATTTGCTGTTGCAAATTTGTATTGGAACTCACTGTGTTTGTTAAACTAGGCATTAAAACTTGAGTTTCTTTCTTCTTTTTCCCATAATACTAGTATAAGCAACTTAAGGAATTTAATATCATTTTGTTTGTTGTTTTAACTTTAATCAAAAGATTTTTTATTTTCAATTTGATAATTTTTTATTGAAATAATCTGATTCATTTGTTAAACAACCATCTTTTATTAAATCTCATTAATCAGTTGAAACAGATTCGATTATAACATACAGGAGGGAGCAATTAAAGTTCAAGAGATACAACATATAACAGTGATAATGTCCAGCTTTAATATGCCACCATTATTGCGTAAAATCAGCTAGAAATATTCAAAATATAATTAACCAGACTCTATTCTACTAGCTCTAGCTACACAATTCAAGCTTGTTTTCATTTTGACATCATACCAACACTGTATAAGGTGATATGGCAACTTTCCAGATTTGCTGGTCTAGGAAGAGCTAAGTTGCCCATCAGTGCCAAGGGAGCACCTAGGAGACTAAGTTCCTCCAACGTTTCTGCAGACATGCTGAATAAATTCTTTATTAACAGCTGTGAGTGGCAAGTGATTTAAAGTCAAGCCTTAATCAAGCAGCCATAGAGACCCCAGATTTTATCTTGAGCTCAATGGATAGGCATTGGATATATCTAAATATTATACCAATTTTCATACAATATCAGAAATTTTTGAAACTGGGTGTATGTCAATATAAACTCTTAACCTGATTGAACAGCCTGCACATTTTGGGCATGCAGTCTAAACAGGCTCTATACTATTGGTAGCTAAATGCCAGTTGTTTTTTTTTTGCTATTGAAATCCCCTCAAGTTTAAATGGACTGCTCCAAATTCAAAGTAGGGCAAATCCATTACATAAATTCAGCAGCTTGGTGATACGTTTCAGGGATTTTATATCAAAATTATGAATACAAGAACCAGTTGAATCAGGTGATGCTCCCCAAATAGGTTTTGGACACAGGAAAGTATACCTCTTGTAGTTTCCCAGAGTCCCAGACAAAGTTCAAAGTGCAATAATTCCAAACTTAGGCAAGACAGAGTAACTGTTCTTTGCACTGCTCATCTACCCAATAATATCTATCTACTTACAAAGTTTCTTGTTCATATCTCTTGTTGTATCAGAGTTATGTCCCAGACAAACTATAAATATGAAAAAAGGGCAATAACTCCAAAATTAGGCAAGGCAGAGTTATGGTTCTTGTGCAATGCACATCTACCCAATGATATCTATCTACCTACAAAGTTTCATGTTGATACCTGTTGTTGTTACAGAGTTATGTCCCAGTCAAGAAAAGCGGATGGACTAATGGACATCCGGCTGAAATGAAATAAGGAGCCATTTCTTTTGTTATTTTCTTTTGTTCAATAGATAGCCAATGGTCCCTAACTCTATTGTTATGGAATGAACTCTATTGTTCTCTTTTCTTCTGTTTACAGTGAGATGGCCCGCTATCCCTATTCGGTAGTGTGGATAGACAGACGGCCGGACAAAGTGGCGACTATATGCTCACCCTTCGGGGAGCATAAAAATTGAGTGGCTAGCAGTATAGAACCTTTAACGACAGCATAGAAGTTAAAGTGAGCTAGCCTGGGTCTATACTGGTGGCATAGGTTGGCTAATATTGTTGCAAAGAAATCAGCAATTAAATAATAAATGAACAATATAAATAATAGGCTATATTATAATGTTTATAGGTACACATAAATCTGAAATAAAAATCAAGACTAAAGAGTGTTAGCGGCTATTGAACATTTATATAAATGCATGCCATGCTGAAAAGATAAAAACAATATAGATCAACATAAAATGTACCAAATCAGTTGTCATACAATGTATGGTATAAAAACTGAGAATTGTCTTCACACATGGTAATTGGTGGTGGTATTTTCAATGTGTGCAAATTCAAGTTTTTTTCACTGGCAATCACTACAAATGTGTAAGGTGGATTTTCACTGGACAATCACTACAACTTTGTAAGCTTGATTTCTATTGGAAAATCGCTACAAGCTTGTTAGGTTATCATTTGCTGAGATGTAACGCATGCTAGGCTAGGTATAACCTTTACTGTCAAAAGCACAATAACAATATGTATTGAAATTTCATTTTTTTGCTATAAAGATTAAGATTAATAATATGAAGCCATAAGCTTATAGATATAAGCTTATAGACTAACTCTCGAATTCATTCCTTGAGTGAACAAGTACTAAGCATTGAAAGAAAAGCTTTTATGCCCAAGAAAACAATGACTTGCCGGACCCACATGACCTTCAATCCTTAGATTACTTAACTCAGACATATTTTTAACCATAGGGCCATGCCATCACAAACTTACATACAATCTTTACTGCTTATAAAATGATCTATTGTCACTGTAAGATAATTTTAACTAGGTATACCAGTATGTACTGTAAAAGAGGTCTTATATCCTGACTTAGCTTATGATATTAATACATCTTATGATCTGTTATGGAGGAGTTAAGTCTCATAAGCCTGTAGTCGATTCTGCTGATGATTAAATTAATGATTGGTCTGCAGAATTTATTAAATGAACTTGTCCTGCTCGGAACTGGAACTGTCTATTCAAGGGATTACAATATTGTCATTTTACTAAATCAAATTGTTTACAGTATGAAAGTCTAGTCAGTCTGTATAAAATTGCATGCCAGATTGGTATTGTTACGGTAAAGGCTGCTCATTCTTGCATCTAACATGCTAATGGATAAAGTTAAAATGGAGGGAATGTTTGGGAATATTCAATTTTGTTTGTGTTAGTTGCAGGCCTATATTATAATTACCTTGGTTTACTGTTTTGCATGACAATTTAAAAACCAACACACTGAAAATGAAAATCAAAGCACTGTAGGCACTGACATTGTTCTCTACGTCAAAGTGGTATGTAATGTCTTAAACTGTAAAACAACCAGATGATATGTTCTAATGATAATGGTTTTTAATAAAACCAAGAAGTTTCTGTTTAAAGCAAACAAACCATACTTAACCATAGGTTACTTGGTAGGACTTATCAAAATCATAATATTTTTATTTCTCCTGAATTTTCCTTATTCACATATGTGAAATATTTCATAACACAGTTTAAGGTCCCATGTGTGAACTAATTAGATCTCAATTCTGTGTTCCCAAACCAACTGAGATAAGTTCAATATTGGGCCACAGCATTTATGTGCTGATTTAAGCCTATAACTAAAAATCTTCCAGCTTTTTTATTTTTATGTACAATGTATATAAAAGACATCTGTCAGAGATTTAATATCAAACATGTTCTCTACCAATCGCTCTGTTTTACTCAATGACTAAGTCGCATCATGATTCAACAAGAGCTGTCCGTAAGACAGCGCGCTCGACTTTTTTAGTGCTTGCCTATAATACAAAACATTGACAGTTAAGGGCCATAATTCAAATAAAATCTTTGACAGAATTACCTTCTCCTGGACATGTTTGGGAATCATGATTGTAAACAAGTATTCCAACTTTCAAATTAATATCTCAAACAGTTCAGTCAAAAAGTGGACTGGTACTAAAAACTTAACCAAGATTCTAAGTCGATAAAAGGCCTTAATTTTTAAAACAAATCCTTGACAGAGTTACCTTCTCTTGCGTACAGATGGGGGTAATGATGTGAAATAGCATTAAAAGTTTCAAAGCAATATCTCAAAGGGTTAAGGCAATAAGTGGATTTTACCCATATTCAATGTATTTTCTAAGTCAAAAAGGGGCATAATTCTGTCAAAAAACCTTGACAGAGTTATGTCCTCTTGTCTGTTGATGAAGGTCGTGATGGTAAACAAGTATGGTCAGTTTCAAAGCAATACCTCCAATGGTTTTGAAATAAAGTGAGGTGGTACAAAAAACTTAACCAAGATTCTAAGTCGATAAAAGGCCTTAATTTTTAAAACAAATCCTTGACAGAGTTACCTCTCTTGCGTACAGATGGGGTAATGATGTGAAATAGCATTAAAAGTTTCAAAGCAATATCTCAAAGGGTTAAGGCAATAAGTGGATTTTACCCATATTCAATGTATTTTCTAAGTCAAAAAGGGGCATAATTCTGTCAAAAACCTTGACAGAGTTATGTCCTCTTGTCTGTTGATGAAGGTCGTGATGGTAAACAAGTATGGTCAGTTTCAAAGCAATACCTCCAATGGTTTTGAAATAAAGTGAGGTGGTACAAAAAACTTAACCAAGCTCAATACACTTTCTAAGTCAAAAAAGGGCCATAATTCTGTCAAAAACCTTGACAGAGTTATGTACTCTTGTCTGTAGATGGAGGTTATGATGGTGAACAAGTATGGTAAGTTTCAAAGCCATACTTGTAATACTTCTGAAATAAAGTGGGGTGGTACGAAAAACTTAACCAAGGTGTGACGCCAACGCTAACGCCGACGCCGACGCCGACGCCGGGGCGAGTAGGATAGCTCCCCTTTTCATAGAAAAGTCGAGCTAAAAATTTAATTTCAATGCATGTTGTATTTAGTTAACATTTAAATGACACATTTAAATGTTTAGCTGTAAGTAAACAGTGTTTCAAACAACTTCTTGTCCTCTGTATAAGATGAGTATTTCACTTTATAGGCAATAAATCTACAAATATATAGTATGGTATATTTATTTTTTGGCATAATTATGTCATGTTTTGAATTTGCATTAGTTTATCAGCATACGATTAAAGCAGACCTGCCTTGTACTTGCAACCAAAAATCTCACCAACCAGGTTTACTAAAAGCATAAAATCACAGTAAGATACAGCACTTCTTGCCCACCTTATCTCTTAGCACAGATGGACAAAATAAGCAAATTTTTCCATAAATTTTTTAGCTTTTCCTGTAAGATATGCTATTTTGTCCATCTGCCCTAATTAATAAAGAAGGCAAATTTAAATGACCCTCTGCTATCTAAATAAAAATACATATATATAAATAAATAGGAACTAAATAAAACCACTTGTAAGCAACAACATTGTCTTCTATCATTCACCTGTAATAGACCAGATATCTTTTTTGCATAGAAAGGAGAGATATTTTTAGCATGGTTCAAGCCAAGGTCATCAAGGTCAACTATCATTATAATTCCTGTGATCTGAGTCTTGTCATCCTATATAAAACAATTGAAATCATGGTGAATCATGTATGAAACATGACAAATCATGGTGAATCATGTTGAAACATAGCAAATTACGGTGAATCATATTGAAACATAGAAAGTCATGGAAAATATAGGAAAATCATGGTGAAATATAATCAACCATGGTGAAACATACTTTACCATGCTGACACATGATTATCAACATTGAAATCACTGCTGATCACATTGAAACATGGCAAACCATGGTGTCACATAGTAAATCATGAAAAAACTACTGCAGGTTAATCGTGGTGAAATATGATGAATCATGGTGAATCACGATGAATTATGGTGAAACATGAAAACACATAGTGAAATGTGGTAAATTATGGTGAAATATGGTACAACATCATAAATCATGGAAACAGTGTAAATCTATCAGACTGACATGATTCCATGTTGCTTTCTATACAGATAAAAAGAATCATACAGCTACTGCCTGTACAGACAGGAATAAATATTATCTAACTTGAAAAATTATGGCAAAAGGCAGTAATAACATTCTGCTGAGTTACCAAATCACAGTTAGCTGTGTTAGCTATCCTTATACAAAATTCTAGTTCGGATGTGTGGGAGCTAAAAGCTAATAGACACACTAATGAAACTGTCCTTGAACCAATGTTTGTAAAGTTCCTTGCTCAAAGAATCAACGGCTTGCCTCTTGAGAGGTTTAAACCCAGGCAGCCAGTAACACGTGGATTACTGGCCCAACATGTCCACTGCCATCTTATTATGTTAGACTACAATTATCAAAAAATATGTTTGTATAATTTATGATAATGATTAACAAGAAAGCAGAATATCATAGTTAAAATTCTTACCTCAACCAACTTGGTTAAAGATATAAAATTAGCTCTAAAGATATCATCTATGGCATACTTTGATGGATCCCATTTACCTGAGAGAACAAATAGTAATATTATCAGAGCAGAGGCTGAATCAATCATCACCATTGCCTAAACTGTTGAAAATTAACAAATTTGTCTTTAAAATTGGAAAAATTGTGAAGATTTCTTAACCCATTACTTCATATACACGCCTTTTAACGCCTTTTTTACCCCCCCCCCCCTTTTTGTTGTCTCAAATGATGAAAAAATGCCTTATTTAGACCCCCAACACTTGTTTTTGTATGAGAAATGTTGTTAAAAAAAGTGACCTCTTTTTCGGCGCGGCCCCCCAACCAAAAGATACATCAGGGGGTTGCCAGAAGGGGGATGTGCCCCCTTCTGTTTGGGGGGTTTGAAGGGGGGCGGAGTCCCCCTCATCGCCAAGAAAATTTTGGACTTGTGAGAGACTGTAAATGACCCCAGATTGATCATAAGGTAACGTGTAACCAACGCTGAAAAGCATTTGACTCTATCTCAATCCATTGAAAAGTTGCAGCACTTTGAAATCAATTTTGATGGAAAAAATCAACGCAAAATAGTGATTTTAGGCAATTTTGAGATGTCCCCTCGTTGCCATGGTAACAGAAAATTTAAGCCTGAGCATGTTGTTGCAAGGGCAATGGTCCAGTCAACATTTGTGCCAAGTTTGATTAGTGTTGAAGCAGTTTTTATAGTATTATAGCAATTTGAACTTGTAACGGGAGACTTTTCAATGAAAACAGCCATTTTTCACAAAATGCTCATGAAGTAATGGGTTAAACCAGCTCAACATTTAGTTCACTCTTCAACACAGGTTCTTTTAGAAGAAGAGGCCCTTGTTACAGTTAATTGGAACAATTATTATTTTACTTTCATACATGAAGAGACTCAACAAAATTTTATAAATATCCTGTTACTATAAGAGAGGATGCTTAAAAGATAGTTTAATGTAAACTAGGCATTATTCTTGTATGCTACATAAATTTATTTAAACTAAAACATTTTAAGGGGGCGTCCGTGGCCGAGTGGTTAAGGTCGTTGACTTCAAATCACTTGCCCCTCACCACTGTGGGTTCGAATCCCGACAGGGACTTTGGATTCTTTTATGTGAGGAAGCTATCCAGCTAGCCTACGGAACGTCGGTGGTTCTACTCAGGTGCCCGTTCGTGCCTGAAATAATGCACCGAAGGGCACCTGAGGTCTTCCTCCACCAGTAAAGCTGGAACGTCGTGATATGACCTATACTGTGTCGATATGACGTAAAACCCAAAACAAACAAACAAAACATTTTAAAGACATTTAGTGCTTGTGTATGATTTATTTCAGGCATAAATGCCTAGTGGGCAACTGAGTAGAGCCATCAACTTTATGTAACCAAGCTGGATATATTCCTCAAATGAAAGAATTTAAATTTCCTAGCATGAAATAAACCCACAGTGGTGTCCTGGGCAAGTGGTTGGAGTGAGTAAACTTAACTAACTGTGCTCATCAACATATAACCCACAAATAAAACTATGTTTTCAATGTATCAACTCTCATGTATTGTGGCAGTATTTTTGCCTTCACATATGTACAGAACATCCTATCTTACCTGGTCGAAATATCATAACCCTTCTCCCTTGTTTGTCTCTATGTGGCAACACACCAGTGACCCCAGCATCTAATACATGTTTCACTGTAGAGGGCAGTAAATTATCAAACAATTGCTTGTTTTTTTCATCGGCCCTCATACTAAAATGTTTCATGATCAGATTGAATGCTCGATCGTAGTCAAACTTCTTAGCTCGTAAAAATCTCAATAAATATGCGTCATCCGTCCTGATCTTCAGTTCTGAAATATAATTGTAATAAATCTATAATTGAGCCGTGTCATGACAAAACCAACATAATGGGTTTGCGACCAGCATGGATCCAGACCAGCCTGCGCATCCGCGCAGTCTGATCAGGATCCATGCTGTTCGCTATCAGTTTCTCTACTTGTAATTGAGTTGGTAAGCGAACAGCATGGATCCTGATCAGACTGCGCGGATGCGCAGGCTGGTCTGGATCCATGCTGGTCGCAAACCCATTATGTTGGTTTTGTCATGACACGGCTCAATTTTTCCTTTTTTTGTGTTTTACGCCTGTTTTATCATGTTTGAGATCAATTGTCACAGAAAAACAATGCCTTGGCCGAAGATCAAACCAGCAAATCCTGGATTACTAATCAGATGCTCTCCCTTGAGCTAAATTGGTTGACTCGTATCACATACACCAATTCTTAATTACAAGTTGGTTTTTTTTCCTCCTTTTTTACATTTCTATATTGATATAAACTGCTATTTTTAACCAAAACTCAGTGTCAAAATTCACAATTTCGCTATTGCAGTTGCAGGTACTTCTCTGTTTTTTGCCCCATTTCACTCTTAGATATACTCACTCTAGATAATTATACTTTGTAACTAAGTATAAACAGCAATCATAAACTGGCATTTCTAGATCAAATTAATACATTACAGCATAAATGAACAGCTGTTTCTGTCTGTCTGCCACATTACTTTGATACAGTGCAAAATTATCAGAAAACAAAAGTAGATGGTAACACATTTAAATGACTTATCAAGTATCTATCAATGATCTACCTTTGCATTAAACAAAGCGTTATCCTTATCTAACCCAAATGTAGTGCATTTTATGTTCAACAACACATAAAACATTGGGAAGCCCCTATAAAGTCCCAACTAAAGGGGCTAATTCCAGCTAGAATACATTTTTTTTAAGTTAGTACTATCACTAATATAATTATGTCAACAAGTGTATGATTTTAAGGCTGAAAAAAGTTGTTTTCAATTTTCAATAAATCTTTTCTTTCTTATTTTTTTCTTCACAAACATAACAAATGAATAAACTTGCATATGGTATTTTCCCCTATAAAATATATGCATACAAAGTTTTACCCTTCCAATAGACTGCCACCATTTTAATAAGTTTTATAGATGGCTACTTTTCTGTGAAGTTTGGTCAAATCTAACCAGAGATTTTATGGGAAGACACTGTTTAAAGAAACTGTGGAAAAATGATGTAAATCAACTCAATTAGACAATATGTAAGCTCCCCTCTAAAGGCAAAGGTGAGCTAAGTAAAAGGAAAAAGCAAGTTGAAAAATAAATGTTGGAAGCTGTTTTACCAGGTTTTTTGAGTATCATTTCCCTAAGAGCTTGAATATCTCGTGCTCTCCATTCGGCTTTCTCATTTAGTTCCTCCTCAGCTTTCACTATCAACTCATCACTAAGTGTGCACACATATTCTGTATCATCACTGCTGGTTGCCATGGTTATACATCAATTAGCTTTAAAATGATAAAGAAAACAACATACATGACTGTACGAACAACATAAAACAAATAAACAAATATCTATAAGACACTGATGTCCTAACATTCCACTGTGTTTTGTCAGTCTACTGATGGAAAATTGACAGCAGAACAGACCGACAGACAGACAGGTCAGGTGGACAAGGGCAAGTCTATAGTTATTATATATAATTCAACTAAAAAAATTAAATTCTAAGATGAAAATAAAATACCTTAAGTAATTCACAATCTGACTCGATTACACAATTAAGCAAGCTGAGTTACAGGTCAGTATTTTTAATGGCTTAGAGATACAGTCAGGCAGCACATTTTTCTAACTCTCTGCTGTAAAATCAGATATTTATGTGAAGCTTAACTTTCCGGAATCTTTAAGTCTGAAGTGGTTCAATAGGTTAAATGTTCACGAAAAATCAAAATATCAGATTAACGTTTTTCGTCCACATTATGAAACACAATACTGCTGATGATAGTGTACAGGTAATGATGTGTGAAGATAGCGCTTCATGTGCCAGAGTTATGTTTAATGGTCATATATACATGTGCAAATATTGCCCGCCAAGCTTTATTTAATCTATTCTTTAATATAAATCTTGCAGGTAAAGCTAAAAAATGTCACCCAGACATCAATTTTTTTAACTGACTGGCAAATTTCACATACTGAATCTCACTGGAGCAATGAAACATTGACAGTTGATTATGCAAAACATGTTGTCATAGAAAACTTGTAGGAGGGTCTTCCTATTGATATTTACAATTACTCTAACAATATTTTAAAATGAAAAAGTCATGCAACATGACAATTTAGTTGAACAGATTAACCCCAGTTGAATTAACATTGTGACACTCAGACAGTCCAGTTTTAGGATGAAAGAGTTTCATATAAGTGGACTTCTTATCTATTGAATATCTATTGTATAAATTTTCAAAGACTGTGATGTATTCTTTTGTATTTCAGTGGTGACAAATAACAGCTACCGAAAGCTGCTATAAATTATGCTTTGACCTTAAACCTTAACCTTTAACCCCATGAGCATATTGCGAAAAATGGCCGTTTTCATCGAAAAGCCTCCTGTAACAAGTTCAAACTGCTATGAAACTATGAAAAATGCTTCAATACTGATGAAACTTGGCACAAATGTTGACTAGACCATAGCCTCTGTAACAGCATGCTCAATCGTAAATTTCCTTTACCATGGCAACGGGGGGACGTCTCAAAATTGCCAAAAAACACTATTTTGCATTGTTTTTTTCCATCAAAACTGATTTCAAAGTGCTGCAACTTCTCAATGAACTGAGATCACTGAGTAAAAGGCTTTTCAGCGTCGGTTACTAGTTACCCTAAGATCGACCTGAGGCAATTTTTAGCCTGTCACATGTCCAAAATTTTCTTGGCGATGAGGGGGACTGCCGCCCGCCTTCAAACCCCCAAAACAGAAGGGGGCACAACCAAAGTACCAATGTGGTATATGTATTAGCATACAGTACTGTCTGACTAGCTTCAGTCTATGGATCAGACTGAATGTGCTAGCCTCATTAAATAAAGTCATTACTTACTTACTACTTACTTACTTACTCTGAACAAAAGTTTCAATGTAGAAATTAAAATATGCTTCTCCAACTATCTCACTGAGCATGCCACAAAATGCCTGTGAGAAGATCTACCAGCTGAGAGTATGGACTTAAAAATTTCAGCAATAAAGCCAATCCACTTGTGACAATAGATGGATAATGAAAGCTTCTGAGACAGTTAAATATGACAAAACAATGATAATCTAAGCATGCAATTCTTGCGTAATATACAAGAAATAATTTTGTGATGGCAGATGTTATGGTGGAACTCAGTCATTGAATTCAAGCTTTTCTTCAGCTTCTACTCTATAAAGGTAATTTAATGCAAGGATGAGTTTTTGCGAATTTATTTAACTTTAGAAAAAAGCGAAAATTAAACACTTGCAATATATTTTTTTTATAAATTTCTGATTTTACAGTTAATTTGTACAAGTAGTTCTGAGTCAACTAATAATTGGTCTCTTTATCCATCTTCAGGCACTATGTCATCATTTGAACTGGTCATTAACACGATAGAGAATTGCTGTAAGCTGTCTGGTAGACTAGTGCAGAAAATTTATGAGCTTTAGAACTGCTCTGAGAATCCAAGGTTAGAATCTATGTCAGTCAGCATATTTTTCTAAGCCCTTGACATTTGGTGCACATGATAGTAAAGCTGAGAGTCAAGTTATAGTTGGTGTCTGGTTTGTCACAGTTTTGAGCTTGTTACTTATAATGTCAGTCGTTCAATAAATTATAATTGGGGGGAAATGAGCAGCCTAACAGGGACTCAAATCTATAACCCTAAGAATATTAAAAGTTTTGCAGTCAATCAACTACATTTGTAAGCTACTCTGCCTCTTACATGTTAATATCCTACATACATTGGTATTTCGAAGAGACCAGGTGCAAGTCCAATTTTAGTCTAATCTAGTCTGACTAATTGGATTTGTCAAAGAGACATCAAGATAATATTTCTATAGCTTGACAGTGAGAAAATGTTTATAAACCTTTCACGCGGAATAAATTAGGCTAATGCCTAGTCCAGCTAATTAAAGTTGCCAAAGGGACATCAAGATAATTTTTGAACGGGTGATAATTTTTGGATGGGCGATGTTGTTGTCTTGGTTAGGTTCTGGTTATTTATATGTGTATATGGATCCAAAACATAAAAAGCAACACCAAGTAGCAGTTCTACTTCAGTGATTTTTTTTCCAATTTTCAAAACAACCTGTGGCTTTCTGAAGGGGAAAATATAGCAATACACAATACACCAAACTATAAAACATATAAACAAAAATTAAACATCCAGAAGATGTAAAACACATCTACCCTACAAAAACTTGAACTAAACTCAGCTAGGCGGAAAACGATGCCTCAACCAATGAAAATAAAGAATTGAAAATAGAACCATTCAGAATGAGGCTAAAAACTAATATATTTACCAAACACAGAATAAACCTGATGAAACTTGGACCTGTCACAATGTCACGGTTTGACAGTAGAGAAAAGAGTCTGTAAAATGGGTCAAACAGTTCTCACCAATAAATTACAGGCTAAACATTTTCTCCCCTGTTGTAATGTTTCAGGCCTAGTATCCTAACTAGTCGAAATAATTTGATGTGCCAAAGCTGCATTCTGAGATTTTTTTTGTGGGTCAGAATTGCCACACAAAATAGTACACTATTATAAGTACAATTAGTTGGACTAGTAAACTAACATGTAGAGAAGTTTAACTTAAACTATCTATAAAGCTTAGGTCTCCCCTGTAACCTAGAAAAGAGAGAACAAAAGAATATCATAATCGGTTATTACCTCAAAACATAAAAATATCTTGACTCACATTTAAATTTTTGAAGGACTATTTTAAATATTTTTTAAATATTTAATTATTGACGACAGCTTCTCTGTTCTATATTTGTCAGTATTTTCTTCTAGCCTTATATTAACAAGCTTTCTTATTGGATAGTCATATCTCGTTTTTTTATTGGTCGTAGTAGTTTATTTTAACGACGCTACCACTCAACTGTTATTCGCGCCACTTCTTGATTTTTTGTTTGTAAGCGTCACTGTTAGTCTGTATTAATATGTGTCAAACCACTCATGCCAAATTAGTTAGGCTAGTCTCACCTTAACTTTCTTCATATTATCTTTTTTTTAAGTTTTACGTTTGCCGAATTAGCTCAGTGTAATAGCTTCAAATACCCTGCTTACGACTAAATATTTTGGACTTGATCTATCACACCCTATGACCAACTGAACTTGAACTGTTGAATTTGAATCAGGGTCAGCTTGGCCCTATTCCAACTCGGCACAGGTCAACACGGCCCATAATTATATATTACTGGTAATGATTACTTTTATTATCTTTTATATGTTTTCATCATAACTTTCATTGTTTAACATTTTCACAGTAACAGACCTCTACTCAAGGTTAATGAAAAGTTTTATTGATGAAAATACCAATATGTATGTGAATTTGTAGAGATGGGAAGAATTTACAATTTATATGCATGTTTTGCTTACTTCCGATGTTTTTTGTAAAATATAATTGTTCAAACAGCATTGGTCGTGTTATGAAACAAACAGTGTTAAATACAATTACATTTATTGTCATAAAAATTCAATTTAATGATCAATATGTATCATTATTGTCTTGATATCTCTTCTTAACAAAGACAATTTGAAATAATACGTACATGTACACAGTGCCAACTTTTTCAATTTCTGTTAGTGATCATACCTCTGAATACTTTTATAGTATTTACTCCTTAAATTTTTTTATAAACTAAACAATCCAAACCATCTATATGCTAATAGGTTTTTAATAGAGGGCTGAGTTGACCTGTGCCGAGTTGACCCGTGCCGAGTTGGTATAGGGCAGAATTGACCCTTTGATACCGTTGAACTCATGGGTGAAAGGAAATATACAGTATTATTAGTTATGACCTCGGTTCCTGATCATGAAGGGGCTGCTAGAGCTAACAAGCTTACCCGGATAATGTAATTTAAATTAAGTGATTACAGTAATTACAGTCCTGGTGGCATGATAGCTCAGTTGGTTAGACCACTGATTAACACTCCTGAGGTTCCTGGTTCGATCCTGGGTTATAACCTTGGGATTTTTCAGAGACACTTTCAGTGTTTCCCACCTACCTAGAGATGTACTGGTAATAAAACCATGTATCCTCACATGTATCAGTGCTATACACTGGGCATGTAAAAGAACGAATGACAGACTATTCTCTCCCTTACCAGAACCTCCCACTGACGTTCTCTCCAACGGTTTCTCCCGACGTTCTTCCAATGAATTGCAGGCATTTCTCCCCATTTATGTTATAATATCATTTGTTGTTCTAATAACTTCTATGAAGATTGTTAAAAGATGTGTATATTAAGTGCATTTATTTTTATGTTATCTGAAATTGTAATTAACTTTTCAGATTAATCAGATCATTGTGAGATTAGGATAAGTGGAATGTGATTGATATATATGCACCTGTATTTATGTTAAGGTCTAGTGATATTTATTTATTTGTTAAGTAGCAAATAACATGGTAACAAGTATGTTCTAGAAAATAAATAAGCAACAACTGGTATGCAATCACATTTCACATTTACTTTTATACAAAATTGATTAAAGGAAATGTAGACATTCACATGAAACAATAATTATCTTATATGAGCTGCTTTTGTGTGCTTTTAATGTGATAGATTTATTTCTATTTTTTTATGTGCTATGCTTTTGTGTGCTTTTATTGTAATAGATTTATTTCTATTTTTTATGTGCTATGTATCATCTTTTATATACATGTATAACTTGAATGTTTGTGTGTATGTTAATGTCAGGATTGATGTTCATTATGCATATTTTAACCTTGTCATTCTATTGCTTAGTCCTAACCATGTTTTATTTATTTATATATAATTTGCTCTTTTTATAAGTTGGTTTGTCTATGCATTTTATTGTGTGTATGTATGCCTGATGTTCCTCTGCTTAAATGTTTGTGTGTTTTATATAAGCTGTGATGTGTGATCTTAACCTTTAGTATGTATATTAATGGTTTGTTTGTTTTTTTATTAGATCTAATATGTATTACCTCTTACTTTTGTATGCTACTGATGAATGCTAGTACAGTGCTGTTTGTCTAATCTATTTGTTAATGCAATGCTATTTGTCTTATTTTATCATAACCATTTTCATCATTTATCATATCTAAAACATGTGTTTTATATTATTGTAGTCAGTGTAAAAAGCTCATCAGAGCTTATGTTTATTGTTTGATGTATCCGACTTATAAATAAAATTTACTTGACTTGACTTGACTTAATTGAGACCAAATAACAAATAAAAATACTTATTAGTCAACACCCTTTCACAGCTATTTTAATCTAATCAACACCTTGATTCTTGAGTAATGAGTTAATAAACACCTCAATTATCTCTAACAGCAAACTTAATGCACATATGTATTGAACACCTTTCTTCATTATACAAAAGTATGAAATTAAGGTATTAAAATTCATTAATCATACCTAAAGAGAACCAACTGGGGTATATTCAATATAAGAGCTAGGGACAGGTTCCCGAATTCCCTTGTTTCTCATAGCTGACTCTTAAAAATGTATACAATGTATACCTGCTTAGAGTGATCGTAAACGATTTTAAAGCAGTATGATGTTATACTAGTAGAACAGCAAATCCTGAGTTTTACATTTCCTGATTCGGGTCGCGAAAACATATGATTTTGTTATTTTCATTTTCATCATTAACTTTATATGTTTGCGGGTAGAAAATCAACGCTTGCAAATTATAATCGAAATATCAAAAGCTAATATGTCATAAAATCTTACTTTCTGTTTAACCTTTTCCAGCGTTTTCTATGACAATGTTTGTTTATAGGTCAAAAGCCGCTATATTTTTATTTTTTCAAAGGGACAAACACCGCCAAATCAGCAGGGTAATTTGTGGACGAACACCGCTAATATGGGTTCTGTACATTTTTCTCCAGTCTTCTGTCATTCAAACACAAGTTATTTTTATGTTAGCAAATAAAATCACAGGGAAATGCTGTCATGAATTTTATAGAGAAGGGATAACTTAGCATCTATTGATACGTCTGAGTTCCAGTTTACGAAGGTTAAGGTAGTGAAGCATGTCCGTGACGCTAGAGGTCCGACCATAATCTAGCTTATAGATCCTGTATGTTTTGTGATTGATATTGTTACTGTGTGTATACCACACTTGCAAAAACTTATATATGTATATAATTATGCAAATAAAACAATTTTCAAACATCAAAGAATATGTAAAATGTGTACTGCAAATATTTGTGCACATTATATTTAATCAATAAATTACATGCATTCATTTCATATTGGAAAATTTTACTAAGAATTTATAGAAAATAAATTTCTAATTACCTCCCTTCTTTTACATGAAATTTTAAATTCGGTAATATCTTTATAAATGATGCTTATTGGAACTTACAATATTGACACATCTTAATTTGAGCATCATATTTACGAAATAAAACAATGGAACAATTGTGTTACAGGATCTTTAAATTATATTGCATCAATCAATAAATCTGCGGTCAAGCAATTCAATAAGCTGCATGCACAAAGAAATGTTTGTGTTTATAAGACTCATGCTTTTTCGATCCCTGTTTTAGCTTAATGGGCAATCCTAGGGTTACATAGAACATACTCATTAATTAATCTTTTAATTATTTTTGTTGCATTTATGTGTGTGTTTTTATATATATGCAAGTTGATATATGTGATAACATTGTATGTGTATATGTCTATTCCCTGAATAAATCGATACGATAGGTTACATGCATTACAGAGCTATACAAGTCTCTGCGTCACTGCATGCATAAAGCATTAATTACCATATAGGCCCCACTTGGATTTCCCCATTTCCCCAATGTAATCCAAATATGTTGCCATATATTGCTTGCTGCATGGGTAGAGTAAAATGACTCTTTTGAAGCAGCATATGTAATATCACTAATCCCGACGAAAAATATTCTTTCATAAATTATAAGGTTTTTGTTCCATTATATATGCAATTTTACAATTTAAACTTTTTTTGATTTTTAATCACTTTGAAACCCACAGTAGTTAGAATTTTCCTTAGAAAGTAACATATATAGTACATGTAGCGCATTCTGTGGGCAGGAAACATGAATATTTAAAAATACGCTGTTGGCCATCGTTGACTGAATAAGCCCCGCTCTACTGATAATGCTAATTAGGAAGTCTTTTGAATAGAAATATTCTCGAGCATCATTCATATATTTACGGGCTTTGAATAGTGTGCACTATATAGTACTGGTGTCATAATTGTAGAAGAGTACTGTAAGTAATGGAACAGTAACAGAAAACTTAGGAATTTAGTGATTTTCACGATGGTGTAACTCTCAACGAAAATTACCGGATTATGTTTACAATTCCGAGTTCCCCGGAAAAGTAGCAGACAAAACAAACATAAATGCAAAATTCTCCAATGATATGCAATTGTATCCAGACTTAAACTGTGATAGAAAGATTCAACACCCTTTTCCAAAAAATTTTTAAACGCCCATGGCCAACAGTTATGTCAAAAATATGTGTTTAAAATTTTTTTAGCCATTTCCCCCTCCTTAATTTTTCCCCCAAAAAATTTGAAGATTTTTTACTTTTAACAAACAAATAAATTTCCCCATTTAATTAGGATTCGAACAAAATTTTTTTATTGCCTTAAATTTACATAAAATGTAGCAAAGTATAGAAGTGGTTAAAGGCAACCCGAGATGTGTCAAAAAGGTTTTTTTCCAAAGTTGGGGAAAAATCCCGAAATAATAAAGAAAATAAAATTTTTTAAAATTTTTAAAAAAAAAGGGGAAAATCAAAACCCGACAACAGGGTTGGTTTTGACCCTGGGAGAAATTTTAAATTTCCCGTTTGTTTTTTTATTAGAAATAAAAAATATGGTGAGAAAATCATGAAAAATACATATCGGTATATATACAGTTCATGTATTTGAATGACAGACTATTCTCTCCCTTACCAGTTCCTCTCCCTGACGGTTCTCTCCCTATCTGTTTTCTCCCCTGATGGTTCTCTCCCAAATTTGAAATATGCAGACAGTTCTCCCCCAATTTTATTTTTGTAAGTTATACATATTATCATTTTCATGATTTTAGTTTTGACTTAATCTAATAATATTTCTTAATGAAGATTATTAAAAGAATGTGTTTGATATTAACTGCATTTTATGTTTTATGTTTATCAGCTGAAAAGTGTTTTTCAGTATTTTAATCCTATCAACACCTGTAAATTTAACACCTTTTTCAGTATTTTAATCCTATTAACACCTTTATTGTGAGAGATATAGATCATTGGACAGTGATACACCTGTAATTATGTTAAGGTCTAGCTTGTGATGTTCATTTATTTGTTAAATAGTGAATAAGGTGGAAACAAATATGTTCTAGAAAATAAATATAAACAACAACTGGTATGCAAACACATTCCACATTTACTTTTTTACGAAATTGATTTAAAAACATGTAGTCATTAACTTGAAACAATATATAATACAAAATAACTAATATAATACTTATTCATCAACACCTTTTCACAGCTATTTTAATCTAATCAACACCAAGGAATTAATAAACATCTCAATTATCACTGGCAGCAAACTTAATGCATACATGTGTGTATTGAACTTTTTTCATTATACAAAAGTTTAGCAATTAGAATTTTTATTAATCATTTTTTGCTTATAAATTTCATTTTTATTTATTAAAAAAAAATAATATCTTATGATTATCCTAATCAAGTAAATTATTCATTAATTATTTTTAATGACTAAACACATTAAAAAGTATACATTACATCTAACTAAAAAATCAGAATAATTAACTAATATCATCATTGATCAATTATTATTATATGTTAAAAAAAAAGTTTGTCTAATTCAATTTATATCAATTGATAATAAAGTTACAAATTTATTAAACATCTAAATACTTCAATAAAATATTTTTTTCTCTAATTTATATTAATATTTGATAATCAACTTACCGATTTATTGTTGCTGATGATGCTAACAAAATTGAAACTTGAATTAAACATCAGAATACTTCATTAAGTATTTTTCTCTAATTTATTACAATTTATAATAAACCTCACCATTTATCTAAAATCTAAACACTTCAATAAAATAATTTTTTTTCTAATTTATATCAATTCATAATAAACTTACCCATTTATTTAACATCTAAATACTTTAATAATAATGTAATTATAAAAATAACAATGGGGAGGAACTGTCTTCTAATTTGCAAATATGCAGACAGTTCTCCCCCAAAATAGGGAGAGAACAGTCAGGGAGGAAACGTCAGGGGAGGAACTGGTAAGGGAGAGAATAGTCTGACTACCCATGTATTTAATGAGAGGACATTTAATTTGGATTTTACCATTTGACTTGGCAACACCTTTACCAGACTTCAATTTTTGAAGTTGGCCTTTGCTACTCCATGGCTTTGAGGGGGGTAGGGGGGCAGGCTTACAGTTGACTTATAAATGCATGATGACAAAAATCATCTTAACTATATGCCACTCAGACTAATCAGGGCCGGCAAAATCTGATTTTGACTTACTTGTCCGTTTTTAAGTGAAGCATTTTTTAACTTGTCCGTATGATATTTACATAGTTAATTCTTGAACATTTTCACTTGTCCGTACATGATGTGGGACAACCTGGGCAATACGGACAATTGATTTTGCCGGCCCTACTGCCAGGCATGTTTCCAGGATATTCAGTGTTTAAGCAAAGCCTGTCAATATGAAAACTTTAGAAGTGATTTGAAATATCTTGTGGTTCTGCAGATTTATAATGCAAATGCTCACAAAATTTATATCTCACGTTATTGTATTCAATTTCAAACTGTTGTATTCAGTTACTACTATAAGACACTATAATTATCACAGACTTTAATTGATCAAGTAGCGATAATATGTATTGTAATGTCCATACTGAATGATTTGGATAGGTCTACATCTTCGATCAAATCATTGTGCTTTTCCCCATTTAATTTCTATTTTAATCTTAAGTGTATATTTTAAGGGTATTCATAAAATATTATCATTTACATTTTCAGAAATGCAATAATGACAAGAATCTAAGAATAATGAACATTGTGGGCGGGGCAAGATGTCAAGCAATGTACATAGTGGATGTTACTGTTGTGGGGTAGCACCTTCTGCAAGAATGGATATAGATGCAGCCTTGGATGAACTTGGAATGTTGAGCAGTGTGACTGAAAGCCGCAAACAATACATGCAGGTAAATACGTGACATGATGAAAAAAAAATAATTTCACACTGTCTCGAATTGGTTAAGGTCAGACTGTTCTGCCAATTTAGGATTTTTGTTTGTTTTAGACATAGAATTAAATACATGTACGTATATGTAGGAAAATGAGTCCTGTCAAAATATAAGTATGCAGGGCTCGACATTAACCGTTGTCCGACTGCCCGGGACAACTAAAACTTTGGTCCGGGCAAGTTATTTTGAAAAGCACTTGTCCGACAGGGCAAGTGAAATTAAAAAGCATCATTAACAAAATGCATGTACAAAATAAATAGAAAAAACATCTTTTCATTTATAAACATCTGTAAAACAAAAATACAACATGAACAATTATCAATAATGTAGATACACTACTGTATAGAAAACGGAAGCCAAAATATGAGCATGCGCTGCTGTAGGGTAATTCCCCGTTCTAATAATAGACTATATTTAATTTTGTACAAGGTAATTCCCGGGTCATGCTGTCATTTTAATTTTGATGCGTGCATGTAAAGATATCATTGAAAATATGTAAATAATCGTATTGATCTTTCGATTCGTATTGAAAAATGATTTATTGTTTTATCTAATATAACGACATTATAAATGTAGTCGTCGTTATCAGCCTGGATGATGATTGATGAACTGATGTTTTAGATTAACTACTGAATACAAAAATATTTGTGTCTAACTAACAATCAATTTCATAAACAATATGTCTAGTTTATTGCCTGATGTTAAAATGACCTTATACAAGAAGTAATATTGTATGAGCTTGTTTGTCTTTTCTGATTGATGCATTTTTACCATTTTTAGGTCAGGACAAGTAAGTCTTAGGTCAGGGCAAGTAGTTTTAAAAACTACTTGACCAACAGGACAACCTGATTCAAAAGTTAATGTCTAGGCCTGGTATGAAATTATTATAAATTGGAAATTTGCACTGAACACCATTTAGAACTTTTGAAAAATTGGCACACATTTATTTTAGTACGGAATGAGTCTTATTTGTAGGACCTGTCTAATGAAGGTAAAAAAGAACACTGGCATTTGTTGGATATATTTATCAGTGTTTCTTTCCCTTGTTTTGACTGAAAAAATAAATTACTGGGAGCTGTTTTAGAATTCAGGCCATCATCATATAATTAATTTTTGCCTGTAACTACATGTAGGATCGCAACAAAGTCTTGTTTTAACAAAAAATAGTTTTATTACACAATGTAGTACCTCAAATTTATGACGCCTAACTAGATTGAATTTTTTCCCCAAACTTAAAAAAAACAAAAACTGAATTCATCTAAAAAAAATTAAAAAAACAAAACTGAATTCATGTAAATGTATTACATACCTTAGGGCTTATCAAGTACTTTATACAAGAATATGTATTAGAGACTAACATTTAAATAATCCCAAAGAAATGTTTGCTGTATAGGCTTGCTGTATAACACTTTCAAGTCTTAACATAAGTTCTTGTACAATGACAACAAGTATATAATTCTTTTTTGTAGAGAACAGAAAAATCATCATGGCTTTACCTGCCAGTATCTTAATGACTTGACCTTATTTCTTTACCTAGGATTGATGGTGTTATAATGTTTTTAATTATTATATTAGATATGACCATCATAATTTGTCTTGTATTGAAATATTCATATTTACAAAAAAGAAATCTTTTTTACAGGAAAGAATGAGGACTAGAAGTGAGAGTGCATTGTTAACCAAACGATCCATGCATCCTAAAACCCATAGTCTGCCTGTCAGTTCTGCTTCTTCCAGTTACCAAATTGTTCACCTCGATACTGCATATATAACAGGGTTTACAGATTCACCAAACCCTGACAGTTTGAAATCCAATTCTACCAGACAGTTGTCTCAGACATCCACTGATGAAGTATTTTTAGATCAGTCAAAAGACTACAGAGTGCAAAATGATAATATTGATTCTGCTGTAGAGCAAAGGAGGAAAATGAGGTTGAAATTCAAACGTGAAGACATATCAGCACGTAATAGAAGAATATTAGCGCGTAAACGCGCTAAGCAACCGTATGAGGTTCCGTGGAGATTGACTCAGTCTTTTCAAGACAGCATGTTGACACGTTCCGAGGACATTCCAGAAACTAAGTCAAATTCATCGTCTCCGGTCAAACCGTTGAATTCCGAATCTCTAACTAGGTCAAGATCATTGGATAATATTGATTTTTCCTCGTTCTTTATAACAGAGAACCGTGATAGACAGGAAATTGACACTGTAGCATCTGGTATTAAAAATTTGAATTTTTCGGACTCTTAACAAATGTGGTACAATTCCCTAGGTTGTCCCCTGTAATGTGCTCTTCCTTTTATTTATTATTCAGTATATCTTGTTAGTATGTTATATTAACATTTATTTGTATTGTGGTCAGGCCTTTTTCTACCTGAATCTTAAGGATGTAACTAGATAGTTATACGCAAATTCAATTGTGTAGAAGCCGGAACTAAGCAGCCGCATTGATTGACACACTCATCATATGTGTAAAAAGTTTTCCAAGATGTGTTTTTAGCTCACCTGTCACAAAGTGACAGGGTGAGCTTTTGTGATCGCTTTTCGTCCGTCGTCCGTCCGTCGTCCGTCCGTCGTCCGTCCGTAAACTTTTACTTTAAATGACATCTCCTCATAAACCACTAAGCCAATTTCATCCAAACTTCACAAACTTTGGTGGTCACCTTTAAAAATTGTTCAAAGAATTTAATTCCATGCAGAACTCTGGTTGCCATGGCAACCAAAAGAAAAAACTTTAAATATCTTCTTTTAAAAAACCATAAGAGCTAGAGCTTAGATATTTGGCATGAAACATCTTCTAGTGAGTGTCTACCAAGTTTGTTCAAATAAAAGCCCTGGGGTCAAAATTGGCCCCGCCCCGGGGGGTCATTGATTTTCCCTATATGCATATAGTAAAAACTTAAAAAAATCTTCTTTTAAAGAACCCAAAGAGCTAGAGCTAAGATATTTAGCATGAAACATGTTCTAATAGGTGTCTACCAAGTTTGTTCAAATAAAAGCCCTGGGGTCAAAATTGGCCCGCCCCGGGGGTCATTGATTTTCCCTATATGCATATAGTAAAAACTTAAAAAATCTTCTTTTAAAAGAACTCAAAGAGCTATGGCTAAGATATTGAGCATCAAACATGTTTTAATAGGTGTCTACCAAGTTTGTTCAAATAAAAGCCCTGGGGTCAAAATTGGCCCCGCCCCAGGGGGTCATTGATTTTCCCTATATGCATATAGTAAAATCTTAAAAAATCTTCTTTTAAAGAACCAAAAGAGTTAGAGCTAAGATATTTAGCATGAAACATGTTCTAATAAGTGTCTACCAAGTTTGTTCAAATAAAAGCCCTGGGGTCAAAATTGGCCCCGCCCCGGGGGTCATTGGTTTTCCCTATATGCATATAGTAAAAACTTAAAAAATCTTCTTTTAAAAAACTCAAAGAGCTATGGCTAAGATATTTAGCATCAAACATGTTTTAGTGAGTGTCTACAAAGTTTGTTCAAATAAAAGACCTGGGGTCAAAATTGGCCCCGCCCCGGGGGTCATTGATTTTCTTTATATGTGTATAGCAAAAACTTACAATCTTCTTTGAAAAAACCCAAATAGCTAGAGTTTAGATATTAAGCATGAAACATCTTCTAGTAAGTGTCTACAAAGTTTGTTCAAATAAAAGCCCTGGGGTCAAAACTGGCCCGGCCCCAGGGGTGTCATTGCTTTAACTATATGTGTATAGTAAAAACTTAAAAAAAATCTTCTTTTAAAAAGCCCAATGAGCTAGAGCTTAGATGTTTAGCATGAAACATCTTCTTATGGGTGTCTACCAAGTTTGTGCAAATAAAAGCCCTTGGGTTAAATTGGCTCTGCAACGTTGGGGGGGGGGGGGTTGGGGGGGCCTATATACAGGTGAGCGACCTCAGGGCCATCATGGCCCTCTTGTTTGTTGATAACATCTTTTTTTCCAATATTGCCAATTATTTTGATTGAAAATCAAGGTTGACATCATTTCCTGTAAACAAAGTATACCTGATGAAGACTTTTGAGTGGAAACGTATATTTTTTTCAAATAAAATACTTACATTTTTAAATTGAAACTAGAGTTGATTTCTATATTTAAACTTACAAATTTTCTAAATAAATCTTTCACACATTAGGTAGAAAAAGGTCTGACAGTATTTTTGCATTACTTTAGTATGTACATGTAATAGTTACAAATTAATGAAGTATTTTACATGAAAATTAATATTTGGAGAATTTAAAAACATAAACATAATATAATGTTTCAATATGCTGAAATATTCAAGTTATGGTGAGCAATTGTTTTAATTATTTGTCTGTGAAACTCCAGATTCTGTAGCGGCTTAGTTTTATAATAACCGCGTGTATGCCTGCACACATGAATTGAAAGTATTACATACACAAATATGACCAGAAAATGAATTTGATATTGCATGATCTGAAACAAATTTCATTATTTTGAAGTGGTTGAATACATCGTTGAAATTGTAAGGAAATAAAGTTCACAAAATCAAAAGGTCATTGTGAGACTACCTTCATCGCAGACATGTTTTCATGTCTCGTGGATTTTGTCAGACTAATTGTTGATTTACATTACCTGCATCTGATGCAATCTTTTGTAGTACAAAGTTTAACCTCAGCAATTTACACATAAATAGGTCAAGATAATTTTATTATAACCTAATAAAGATATGCTGACAGTCAGCAAATGTGTGTTTTCCCAATCTAATCTACAAAACAAACTTTTTTGTTTAGTTACAACTTGGTAAATGTATTGATAATAAGCGTAACATGTTAATAAGTGCACCATGAAGCTATAACAGTATAACTTTGTTTGTACCTGGTTGTTAAGACTGGGAAAACCCACATATTGTTGGGTTCTGGATAGGGTACAACTGTTAATTTGTTTTTGTGAAATCTAGATAAAATCTATTGCCCTATAGGGTAAATCTGATAAACAAATATTATATTTTGTGACTGTTATTTGTTTTGTGATATTTATGATCTGGACATTTTTTAAATGTGTTTTTTTTCTTTGTTGATAATGCACCTAGAATTGAGAGATAAAATTATACATTTTACAGTTATAGTTGACCATTATCTCCATTGTAGTTGTGTATTTTAGAGTTTTTTTCAATATATACCCAAGGTATACCTTAAATAGCTTAACTATTCAAAGAATAATAGACTATCCTACTCAACTTGTGCATACGTGTAATAACTTGGGTATGGTTTATTCAACTTTTGCATATGTGTAACACTTGGTTATGGTTTTATCAGCAACTTCATTTCTCACAAAATATTCAAACAGGTCCTTAGAATGCAACTGTAGCTGGATTTACACAAGCTGTGTTGGTGTTGACAGAATTAAGGCCTTTTGTGAACTTTCTAGTTAATGTTTTGTTATTTGCCCCAACTGATGAATGTCACTGTCCAAGACTTATAACTCTAGTGTGCATTTTGACTAAATAATAGTAAGTACTTTGTTATCATTGAAAACTTTGTCTTAAGTTTTGCATGCAAGACAAGGCTCCTTAACTTCTGAAGCCGTTCATTTAAAACTTCACATGCACTTTCTGGATCATAGTTGTAATTAGCTTTCCAAGACCCATAACTCTTGTAGAATGGATTTTGAATAATTGCCCTTTAAGAACTCAATAATCAAGACTTGATTTTCCAATTTCTTGTTTTTATGACCTGTATGAAGCACTGAAAAGAGGTCTTTCTCCACCATTAAAGCTGGAAAGTCACCATGCCATGACCTGTTCTGTGTTGGTGCCACATAACCCCCTACACTCCACCCCCACCCGCAAAAAAAATAGGTTTGAGAATAGTTGAATAGTTGAGCATACAAGATGTATGACGAGCAGCTCCTGTTACGTAAATCTTACAATGTAGCGTAAATGAAATGTGAAACATCCATTTATACATATATGTGTTTAGCTAGATTATCTAAGATATATATTCCAATTTTTAGATTTAAAAGTTAGTGTATACCAATGATTGTGAAGATGTGAAGATTTAGTGTTGTTGAATATTCCATTGTTTACATTCTGTCAGGTAAATTGCATGATTATCCAGATTTTTCGTCAGTTTTTTTGTAATTGGCAGATGATTTATAAATGAACATTTGAGTCTCCCATTCTGGACATTCTATGGCTCTTCTCTATGCATTAATTTCAATGAAGGTATTATTTTAAAGGAACTCCACTCCGGTTTAAAAGCCTAAATATAGATACATAAAATTTGATACTTTTGCATAAATTGATGTGGGCACATAAAGATATCCAAAATATAATGAAGAAACATACTCAGATTTAGAAATTTAAGTCATATTTTGTGCTATTATTTTTTGATTTCTGTTAAAGCATTTAAATGCTTTTCATTTTTGGGTTATTTTTTTCCAAAAAAAAAAATCTGGAAAAAAAAACAAACAGAGAAAAGAAATGAGCAGAAGTTATTGGTTCTGGTCTTCATGAAATGGTACATAAAAAACACAGCAAAATTCAGTCCCCACAATGACAAAAAAAAACAAACAACCACAGTGGAGTCCCTTTAAGACCATTTATCTAGGACATAAGTTCCTTGATTCAGATGTAGCCTCTTCAGCCATGCAGTTGAAGATGTAGTCTTCCAAAAGAATTTGGCCCCTTACCTCACAATTCTTCTCCTGCACATTTTTATATGCCCGAAAGGGCATATTATATTACACCCCCTGGTGTCCGTCTATTTGTATGTCCGTCCGTTAGCAATTTGGTTTCCGGAGCATAACTTAAGTTCCATTTGGCCCACAATGTTTCAACTAAATAAGATGATTGTCCAAATTGGGTAGAAGACCCCTATTGATTTTGGGGTCAAAAGGTCAAAGGTAAAGGTCACTATTACCTTAAAACTGTAAACAGTTTCCAGAGCATAACTTAAGTTCCATTTGACCCACAATGTTCAAACATTATAGAATGATTGTCAATATTGGGTAGAAGACCCCTATTGATTTTGGGGTCAAAGGTCAAGGTCACAATTACCTTAAAACTGAAAACAGTTTCCAGAGCATAACTTAAGTTCCATTTGACCCACAATGTTCAAACTTCATAGGATGATTGTCCATATTGGGTAGAAGACCTCTATAGATTTTGGGGTCAAAAGGTCAAAGGTCAAGGTCACAATTACCTTAAAACCAAAATCAGTTTTGGGAGCATAACATAAGTTCCATTTAGCCCACTATATTCAAACTTCATAGGATGATTGTCCATATTGGGAAGAAGACCTCTATTGATTTTGGGGTCACAAGGTCAAAGTCACTTTTACCTTAATACTGAAAACAGTTTCTAGAGCATAACTTAAGTTCCATTTGGCCCACAATATTCAAACTTCATAGTATGAGTGTGTATATCGGATAGAAGACCCCTATTGATTTTTGGGTCGCAAGGTTAAAGGTCAAGGTCACTATTACCTTAAAATTGAAAACAGTTTCCGGAGCATAACTAAAGTTCCATTTGGTCCAAAGTATTCAAACTTCTTAGGATGATTGTCCATATTAGGTAGAAGACCCCTATTGATTTTGGGGTCACAAGGTCAAAGGTTAAGGTCATTATTAATAACTTAAGTATTAATCAACCTACAGCTGTAAAATATATAGGATGAACAACTTATTCCCATGTCTTACAAATGCTTCATCCTTACTAAAAAAAAAAACAACACTTTTGGGCATATAATGCTCCGCCTAGCGGTGCTCTTGTTAGTTCTGCTAGGGTCTTTGAACTCCTTTTTTTTTTTAATAGTTTCTTCTAGGATTCATCAAATATCTGATGCTAAAATGGTAGACAGAACAGATTCTACTTTGAATAGAAGTTATTCTTACTGTTAATGCAAGTGTACCATATGACTGAAAACAGTGCTTTTTCACAATAAAAATCTTAAAAATCAAAACCTTTAGAAACACTGTCCTAATGAAATAAGTTCTTTCATTTTAATTCAAATTAAATTCTTTCATTTCAAATAGTGTTCTTTCTTTAAAATAGGTTCTTTCTTAGCAAATGATGTTCTTTTCTTTTCAAATTGGGTTCTTCTGCTTCTTATTGCATTCTTTTATTTCAAATTGTTATCATAGATACACTGAGTATAAATGATTGTAACTTAACAAACATTTTTCATTATTTTCTATTAAAAGGAGCTCCACTTAGGGTCAAAAGCATAAGAACATAAAATTTGAAATTCTTGCATATATCAAGTGAAGCATTTAAAATAGAAAAAAAATCTGCAAAGAATAATAAAAAAAATGTTCAGTATTAAATTGAAAATCAATTTTTGCATGATTATAAGCCTGAATTCAGTGAAAAATGTTGCAATGCTTTTCATTTTGGGTCATTTTGCACAATAAAAATAAGTATTCTTGAAAAACGAGGTGAGGAAATGATCTGAAAATTTGCATACAAGATACTGGTTCAGGACTACATCAAATGGTACACAAATCTCAAAAGAATATTTTCTAAGTGCTGCAATGTCCAAAAAAAACCCTCAGTGGAGTCCCTTGAATATTGATTGATACAAGGGTAAATAATGTAAAAAAAATTGCGATGTTTTACTTACAAATTTTAATTTCATACCTTTTATACATAAACGTTAGCCACCTTTTTTTCTAGTCACTAAATTTGTAATTTTCTTCAAATACATTTATTGAATTTTGTTATTTTTTTTAGATATTTCTCTTAAACTAGAATATCAATGAGTAATGTTAAACAAAGAGAAAGCACAGACTTAGCATTTATTGTGAATCTTTGAAAAAGATTTTGTAATACAAAATTAAAGATTTCAATAAAATTAAAGACATGAGCACTGATACAATTTTATCATACATTTTTAGAACATTATCAACTTCTCATAAAGTAATAGATTTTCAATGTATAAAATAAAAATAAATCACTGCTGCTACATTGGACTGTAAAGTAATTTGGTAATATGTGAGATACAGGTGTGTAAACTATGCTTGGTAGCCTATAACAGTTATTGTAAAACATAAAGAAAATGAAACCGGTTGTTTAATATTTATTTTAAGTCTTTTATATTGCAATTGTGAATAACCGTCTACATTTTCATGTACATATCTCTGTTACACAGATACTATTTATTTGCTGGAATATTACAACTATTTATTATCTTATTAAACTTCAGTGAGCTTTATACAATATATGGGTTGTCAATTGCTATGTGGTTAAAGTCATTGACTTCAAATTACATGCTCCTCCTCACTGTGGGTTTAAATCCTGCCATGGGTTTTTGATGCTTTCATGTTAAGATGCTATCCAACTAGCTAGCAGAATGTTGATGGCTCTACTCAGGTGGCACCCTAGGATCTGAAATTATGCACAGAGGGGCACCTGATGTCCTCCTCCACCAATAGATATTTTTCACATAAAAATTATTACCTCCCCTGGCCGCCATTTGTGGGGTCATTTCCAATATATCATATGCTTAAGACATGTAAGATAAGATAAAAAAAATCTCACAAAATTATATCATCTTTATGGTGCCATCTGATCAGGGTCTGAAGTTTTTGCTATTCTGTCACCTCATATTTTAAATTTATTATAAAAATGAAATGATAAATATTATGGCTTTTTATTTAAGGATGGACAAGTCCTTTTAAGATATAAAGTGTGGTAAAGGTTAAAGTAGCATTAATGAATTGCCACTAGTGTAGTATGACCATTCCTTATGGATGCTTGACAGTGAAATCCTTAATTATATACAATTCTGATTTTACAGTGGAACAACACCTGTGAACAAATTTATGAAAATAAAGGCAGATTGGGGTCCAAACTATTTCACCAGAGGGATCAGAAAATTTTCACAAGGGTAAATGCACATATTCCAAAGGTGGTTAGGCATTTAACAAATTTTTCAGAGGGGGCCATGAGTCGAAGTTTTTGCTGATTTTCACTAATATTTGCTCGATTTCTGCTAAACAATGATATCCATATCTCAGAGGGGTTCCACACATTTGTCAAATCCTGTGGTGGAGGTGAAAGGGGGGGGGGGTGAGGAGTTCATGCTTAAACTTGAAGTCTTTCATTATAAGTAAAACTGATTTGGCTGTATTAAGTTTGAGTAATAAAACAATGCTCTTTTTTTTTTGGTTAACAATAGTATCATGTGTTTCTGACTGTTTATATTTTTATTTCTATATTCATTCTTTTTTATCATTTGTCTGATATTCAGTTTAAGTTTAACTATTTTAAGCAAAGTGGTTTTCTGCTCCTCTTGCCATGGTAGGCACAGCACTTGGTCAGGGTATTGTGTGTTATTTACAACTTCATATCGTGTCAACCATTGGAGGTATTCACTTTAAAACTTTGCACATGTCTTCAGGTCAAACATGTAGTTGTAAGTTACTGTCCAAGACCAGTAACTTGATATATATGAGCATGTTTTTTATTTAGTGGTTGCTCCCTAGTAGAATTAAAAGTTCCAAGCATCAAAGTTATAATATGTCTCAAATCTAACGATTTTCATTGGTCAGAGAACATTCTGTGGCAGTGTCTGACCAGTGTGTTAACCAAGATCTGAGCTTAGAAATGTTCTGTGGAACCTCATACACAGGTTCAAGGATTTGTGTGGAAGTTCTTTTGTTAAGGTTGTGGGTGCAGGTTCTTTTCTACAAGATTTGAAGGTATTCTCTTTAAGCTTAATCATAAAGGCTAGAATCACGACCTGTAACTCTAGCATGCCAAATTGTTCCCCTTTGTGAATTTAAAAGAAAATTCTAGCGTTAGTCTTTGACTATCAAGCATGGAGAATAGCATCAGTAAAGCTGGAATGTCATCATCAGTGTTGGTGCAATGTAGAATCTGACAAAAAAAAAGAAAGAAAAAATTGTTAAGAATTCTCACCTGTGACAGCTCTTGTTAATAATTGTATTTAGACTTACTAAAGCATATAACATAGAGAGTTTTTGAATATAAGACATAGCTAGTTATTCATTCTTTCATGAAGAATGTTGACATATCATAATTATGTGAAAATATAAATATTAACTGATTGTTTGGATTATATTTTTGTGATTCTAGTACAGATAAACAATAATTGTTCTATGTCTTAGATATCTATGGAACAATTCTTTTTGTCTTTAATAAGTGTATCCCTAGTGTACGCGTCAGAGTGAACTGTTTATACACAGTGAACATAGACCTTAAAGGCAAATGCTTACAGAATTTGATTTTTTTCTTCATTAGGTAGCTGTCAGAAGTAAACACAAATAACTGTTGTAATGCTAGAATGAATCTTGGCTTAATTTACTTTTAATTTTAGAATTTACTTTTCATTTGAGTATGTGCTATATAGAAATACTTATCAAGTGTAAGTTTATGAATTTTAAAGATATGAGCCGCGTCATGACAAAGCCAACATAATGGGTTTGCAACCAGCATGGATCCAGACCAGCCTGCGCATCTGCGCAGTCTGATCAGGATCCATGCTGTCCGCTTACAAACTCTATTACAAATAGGGAAACTGATAGGGAACAGTATGGATCCTGATCAGACTGCGTGGACGCACAGGCTGGTCTGGATCCATGCTGGTCGCAAACCCATTATGTTGGTTTTGTCATGACACGGCTCATATAGTAATTGTTGAATCTTGGATTAGCTGTGTAGATAGAATGCTGAATGTAGTGATCCCTATATTTAACCACAAACATTGACATATGCTCTTTTGTTAATGTGAAGATCTATACATTGGATATCAGGTTTTCAGGTTTTGAGTTCTGGGTGTGTAAAATATTTCTTTGACATTTCGGTTTACAACAATATGAAAAAATGCTATCTGTAAACCCCTATTGTTTGTAAAGATTCATGTAAAGAAGTTGGGAGTAACTTGTGGAGATATTAAGTATATAGAATCAAGAAACACTGACCTGTTTGTATTTTTAAATGTATGACAGGTTATATGGCTCTGTAAAAACTTCTTCTTCTTCTTCTTCCAGGAAGCTACTATAATACTGTGTGTATGTAACAACAATTTTCATTGGACAACTGTGATGTTTATATAATCTATATTCAAGGGTACTATTATTTATTTTATTCCGTAATTTTCATTTTATTTTCTGCAAGTAAAGGAAATTGTGTTTGAAACTCTAAAGTTATCTACAATTTTACCACTATATTTGAAAGTGTGATCTTGTGAAGGTTGAAAATGGAATTCCTGATAAATGGTTGAACATTTTTTTTAATGTTTATTTATTACCTATACTCTTGTATACCTCAGTTTTTTTACACATTCACATTTATACGTTTATATAAGATTCCATGAAACTAATGAATTTATAGGCCTAGGTTATTTAACTTTGTTTGAATATTGAAAAAAAACAAACAAATGAAATGTTGTATTAAATTTTCAAAGCGTTACTCTTTGTGTTGATCTCTTAATGCCCTTATCTAGAAACCGTTGAGTACTATTGATTCTACTGAAATATAATATATTCGTCACCTTAGTACACTCACTCCTATTAAATTTTGAAAGGGAGTTAACCCATTACTACACTAAGGTGACACAATTTCATCACGCAAATGAAGTGTATACGTAACGAGTATACCTGTGTTACCAAGAATGCAGGGATACATGTAGCCATTGCTTTGCCCTTCATTTTGAATATCTCGCGTTGGATGCCTCCTGATTTTTTTTATAATGAGCATAAAGTGGCCAGTTTGGCCTTCCTTCTTTCGGCCATTCACACTTTCTTACCATTTATTGACTTAAAGCTTAGGCCTTTGTTGTGTAGGTAATATAAATGGAGTAATGCGTTTTTAGGGGTTTGGGGCGAAATATGTCCAGGTCATTGAGGTTAAGGTGGGTTTATTATCTTTCAATAAGCCTTTATTTACTGATACATTTACAACGTAAGTTCTTTGCACAGCCTCAGTTGATGATTTTAAGGACACAGAGTCTATGGAAAATTAAATGACCTTGGTCATAACGTCTTCATTCTAAAGTGCAGGGTTGCAACAGAGATCTTCATTTTGACCCATTTAAATATGGACTTAACATTTTAGTCACTGTTTCTATGGCAATATGATATAATTTGGAATGAGTTATTAGGTATAATCAAATTTGGTATATAGCAACCTTATGTGAAAACCTCGGTTGGGATTGCTTTTGGGCGCCAGGGGTCAAGGTCACTGTTAACTAAAAATAGAAAAATGGTTTCCTGACAATAACTAGAGATTGAAATCAAATTTGGTATTTAGCAAGCTTAAATAAAGCTTTTGGGGTCAAGGTCACTGCTACTAAAAGTATAAAAATGGTTTTCGGACAATAGAGTTAGGAGTAAGATATTGTAATCAAACTTGGTATATAGCAAGTTTATATGAAGACCCCGTTTAGGATTGCTTTTGGACCACTTTGGTCAAGGTGCTAAAAATCTAAAAATAGAAAAATGGTTTCCGGTTTGGAATGTGTTATTGTAATCAAATTTATTATAATATATAGAAACCTTATGTGAAACCCAGGTTGAGATTGCTTTTGGACGCCTGGGGTCAAGGACACTGTTACTAAAATAGATGAAATGAATTGAGCTATTGGCAAGAACACTTTGTTTGCGTTTGCATCTGTAGACCCTTTTAGCTTACTGGGCGACAAAACATTGTGTTAGGTTCGACCATGTCTAAGGCTATGTCTTACGTCGTCCGTCCTTCCACATATTTTTTCCCTTTTAACAACTTTTTCTCTTATGCAAATGTATCCATGTTGACAAACATTCGTAAGTGAGTTAAAAATACAAAAAAAGGAAGGAAAAGCCACCAACAGTATAGAGATTGGTCGGACTGCGAGAATGTTCACACTGGCCTGGCGCTACTGATGGCAGATGCTAACCAGTTCCGGTTCCAGCAGGTTAAAAGGTTAAATGTAGTTTTTAGCTTAGGACTCATTTTGACAAAAATCAATCAATTTTGCAATTTTATTTATTATTGTTAAACAAGCAGAATAAAAATATTATTGGCGTATCCGCAATAATTCGGATTCATCCGAAAAGCTGTATATATGTATATAATAACGCGATGTATATAAAACATACATGTAATAAATTACAAAAGAAAATACAAAAAAACAGGAAAGCTCCTTCAATTGTTCGCCCAAAAGTTTACCACCATGGTAACAATGTATTTTACGGCAGGTATGCAATAACAGTTATTATTTTCGTTATTGATAATCTACGCCTTTTCCATGATTGTTCACTTATTTCTATCCATGACCGATTAATCTATGTTACCGCTTTTTTCTTTTCATGATGACTTGCTTTCAAGATAAATTGCTCTACGTTTTCGCTTTTTTCTGCTCATGACTGATTGATCTTTGTTTCCGCTTTTTAATATCCGTGATAGACTGAACTACTTTTTGCTTCTTTCTATACCTACCTGGCTATTCATGATCTGTAATTTTTAAATGCCATAGCGATATTATGTTGTAATAATTAATAAGCATGTCCCTTTCAATGTTCTTGCAACACATGCAGATAGTTATGACATGTCTTATTATTTATTTCGAATACATATCTTTAGTATGTGAGAAATTTGTACAAATAATGGACTCCCTAAATAAAAAAAATCACATAGCATTATCAATCAGCTGCCAATGTTTCATGAAAGTGCGATTCATCATGTGTAAAATCATCAATTTTAACTCAAAACGAGTAAGCCTACACATGTGTTAACATTGTCCACGTGAATTCGATTAACATATGATATATATTTCAATGTCAAAAGAAGTAGAATATATACAAATATTAATGCCTTTTTTACATCTTTGTCATTGTACTTTCAACTCATATATGGTTTATGATTCCAACGTCTCTAAAGATAATGTTTATGTTCCAACGATTCAACGTTTCGTAATCAAATATTTATGAGTTTCATACCTTTAATCACGTGCGGGCGGTTGAATAACATTATATTGTTGTTGTTTTTTCATCTTTACGCAAAAGGAAAGAGACCACAAAAGGATAATGTTATGCTTTTTTTCGCGTGCATTAATGAATAAGCTTTTTTTAATTTAAGGCATTTGCAAAAAAACAATTTATCTCCCGGCATTATGTAATGGTTTTGCATATCAAACATTTTATTGCATTATTTCTATGACTATTTAATTGAGAAAAATATCTGTTCTTTAAAATTTCTATTAAAGCTAATAATATTCACTAGCTCTTTCTATATATTAGTCGTTTGTCCTAACCGACAATTCTCATCAGTTTTAATTTCTTTGTCGTTGGATCTTTGCACAAACCGAATCACAAATTTCAAGGATAGGTTGATTTACTTTACGGATGGTGTTTGATAATATCATCACCAAGTGACCTAATTTCTTTTGTAACATTTCCCCCTTGTAATTGTATCTACAAATCATGCGAACAAGAAACCACATTATTTGCCAAGACATTGCCGTTAGATTTGTCAGTTTTCTGTCCTGCAGAAAAGTAGTCCCTCGGGATGACAATCATTTCTGTATCGTTCACTGAAATAAAATAGTTGGACATATTTACATATAAGGCTAAGGAACAAATGAAAAAAGTATACAGGAAACCAAAGTTAAAGGTTAAATGGCAAGGTAGACAGAATGACAAAGGTCAATGGCAAAGTGTACAGAAAGCCGAAAGGTCGAATGGCAAAGTGTATAGGAAGTTTAATGTTAAAAAGCAAATTTATAGAGTTAAGTTAAAGTATGTTGAATTCAAAAGGTCAAATGTATAGGTAAAAAATCCGCATTGACTTTACTAGTAGCAGGGACAATGGTTGGTAAAATGTATTCTTCTCCCGTAATATGCACACAAGGTTTACAATAGGTTGATGCAAAAAGATTACTGAATTTATTTCTCCCATTAGTAGAACTTTCATGAAAATAGCTACACTACACTACAAACGTGTCCATAAATAATATATAGTAACACAGATACATACTTAGTTCTTTTGCCGCCCATTTGTAAGACACATGTTTGCGATAGGGGTTAAAAACAAACTTGTAAACTACGGCGGCTACTATACCACCGGCAATAGGTCCAACCCAGTATACCTAAAATAATAATAATAATGCTAAAAATGATATATAAATATGAAACGATCATGTTATAACATTTCTTTCAAAGAAAAAAATACGCTTCATTTGCATAAAATGGATATTTTTAAATGAAAAATATATGTAAGTAAACTCTACATGATAAAAATGAATTATATATGGTTAACACTGTTCTTTTATAATCAAATAATTTATATATAATGAATAGAATGACCATACGTCCTCTTACCCAAAGGTCCGTGAAATTTTTGGAGATGACAGCTGAGCCTAGGGACCTGGCAGGGTTCATACTTGCTGCAGTGAATGGAATCTAGAATATCGAAACAAAAGATGCATGTATGTGACGGCATGGCCAAGTGTTTAACACGTCGCATAAGTATTCTAAGGATCGCTAGTCGCGTGGGTTCAAACACCGTCACTATAGCAAACCGCTGTTTCCTTGAGCAAGAAACTTTACACTATATGCCCATAAATTGAAAATAAAAATAAATGTTAGGGACGTCTAGAATTGATTCTGAAAATGATACATTTGTGAGTCTATCACAAAGGCGAAATAAAATAACCATACAAATATAATTGAAAACTCTACAACTCATTTGACTATCGGTCAAACTTATCTTGACATTATCTGAAAGAATATCATATTAATAGACTTTCTTATCTCCCTTCCGTATTTTCTATGAAAACGTTTACAAAATTTCAAGTTTTGATGTTCTTGGCTGTATGGACGCTTGTCTGATTTTTTTCTTACGAAAAGTACCAAAGTGTGCAGAAATAAACCGAAATAAGCCGGCATTTTATGATTTTATCATGAAAGTATAGTGTTAACACCTAGGTATGGATAAATACTTACCGCAGCTAAATGGACAACCGCAACGGTGAACCCGATTCCAATCGCCGGGCTTCCAAACAATGGTCTGTTCATATCCGTACATCCCATTATAGACATTACGAGAATAAAAGTAAATATGATTTCACAGCCAAGTCCCTGTCCAACATTAAGTTCTGGGTTGATTGTGGTAACGGCAAGGTTGTTATGTAGCCTTGAAGGGGTGAACCTGTTAAATATACAACTTAATACAATAAAAAACATTTTTACATTTCAACATTTCGAAATTCAGTATACATTTGTAGCTTGAGTTCTATTATTGCTAAATTTTTATGTAAAATTACATAATTTCTTATTAAAACACTTAAATTAAGTAATTATGATTGAAATAATAATGTATTGGTTTACATTTATCCAAATCATAGCAACTTAAATTTATACATAGCTGTTACAGTGTATAATATACTCCCTAGAACATTTACACTGTAATTTCTCTATTGCGTGATTTGCCAAAGACCGCGACGTAACGCCGACAAACTCAATGACATCGAATTCTGTTTTGGTGCCTGTTTTACACTTACAATAGCACACAGAAAATATTATTATACAATATCCTTACAATTACAACAGGAACGATCCGAGTATCCCTCCCGCACTCTGTGCACAAACATATAAAAACGCTCGCGTCGGACTGATCCAGTTAGCAACAGCCATCGCTATGGAAACGGCAGGATTCATGTGACCCCCGGACACGTGACCAATCATTTGAATACATACAGCTATCATCAGTCCAAAAGTGAAGGCGATCTGAAAATCAAAGCACTGATGGTAGGCGATTTTCGAATTTAGAAATATTATTATATAAATAACTCTAACAAAATTGTTCTGCACTGGAACAACTGGTGTTGTTTACAATTTACAATTCCAACCAAAACACGTTTTAAACTCAAAAAGCACGTAAAGTGAGAACTAACTTCTCGGAAAAAGTCACTCTGGGTAGTTTGTAGTAAACTTGGAAAGTCGAAAAAAAAACAAAAAAAAAAAAACGATGGCGGCCATTTTTGTTTTCTCAAAAATGAACCACGACAAACATCCTAGTTACAGGGCACATTTGCATTAACAGTAAAAATTACACCAATTTGAATATGAAAAGTAAACATTTCAAAAAGTAAGGAGGTTGGTTTGACTGCTGAGTACTCGTCCAAAATTATGAGGTTATTAATAATACCTTGTTGAGTACAATACTGAATTCTATTGGACGAGTACACAGCTATCAAAACTATATTGGACGAGGCGCTAGCTGAGTTTGCAGCTGTGTACCAGTTTTGCAGCTCTGTACCAGTCAAGTATTGATCTCAACAATGTTTAATGACCTCTTTATTTATATCTGCACCTTTTATTTTTCATCCCTCAGCTGTTTTACACGTAACCAACAAAATTCTAATAATGATCGAATTCTATTAAATGTAAACCATCGTATAGTCAATACATTTCTTCAATTTTTGATAACAAATATGCCAGTATATTTAATTTGTATAAGTATACAAAATTTCCCTGTAGCCAACATTCACTTTTGCATCTTAGTATACATCAATTAAGGTGGCAAAATGTTCTTTTTATACATGTATACTCTGTTTAGAGCAAATTTGGGCGTTACTAGCTTACTTTAAACAATATTTTTTGTAAGCTTTCATTTCCATAATAAATTACGTAATTTTTTTCTACGTATTTAGAAGCTTTAAAATGTCTTCGTAGAGGGGGCGTTTTTAATCTTTAGGGCTGTACATATGTAAATGCTCAACTTCTTTAATATGTAACTGTTAAGCTGATAGACTGTCTTTATGTAAATTATAATGAATATCAATATAAATATCATAAACTCGGCTTTAATGTATTCAATTTCGAATGCATTTCCAACTATGTTAATTTCAATTGCTTAACTATTGATTTCACGGTAAAAAGATTTCCCATCCATCCAATTTACACACGCTCACAACTTTGCCTGATTTGCACTGGATCTTCGTACTTTAATAGAACAGATTCTACACGATAACATCATGTTTAGCGCTAGTGTTAATTAGCCGAAGTCGAACACTGGGATTGTCATTTATCAGTTAATCAATTTGTAGAAATATACTATATTTTCAAGTACTGAGATCCTATTAGGCGTTGGCCATGTTTGCACTTTTCCAAATTTGTTCTTTTTTCCTAAGAGGTATTGTTGTTTTAATGCCTATTAAGGACTTGTAGTGGTTTTAGTGTTAGTTCTTAATTTTGCTTTCAGATGCTTCATCATTATCACGCAGATAACATACATGTACTTACTTTAGTTTTAAAGGCACATTACTTCTCGGAAATGAATACAGTCAAACGTGTGTGTAAGAGATTCTATTGAATGTGTTATAATTTGTCATATAAAAGGAGCACAACGTAAGCATACAGGTATTGTGTCTTCTAAATTAAAATATCTTTATAAATTGTCCAAAAAAAAAAAAATAAATAAATAACAGTGATTCAGTTTTATGTCAAATGAGTACGTTCAAGAGAGCTTTTGGGGATTGAAAATGACAGCAATTATTCGGGGCTAAATGTACCTTTAATAACGCAAACAATATGTTGAAGATATTATACTTTTTAAGTCACCAATAGTTAAAAAAATCTCCGCAATATGCAATATGTGTTCAAAGACTTAGAAATTACACATTTTAACACCTCTTTAACTTTATCTGGTTATCTTTTTGCAATGACGAGAGGAGAAGTTTGGTCTCGGATCGTTTATTTACTGATAACTAATCGAAAACGCAATTATAAATTAAAGTTATGCATCTTATTAAATTGCATATCATTTTAACGCATAAACGTGACTTAAGTAGTCGAAAATTCACGTTCATCTTTTAAGTGCCTACATTTCAATCACGGGTACATTTAATTTTAGATACTGTGCCAGTAAATCATGCAGTTTATGTAATATCAATATAATATTCTATTATGATGTAAAAGGCAGGGAGTAAATACCAGTTTTGAGGAAATTCACGTACACACTACTTGAGTCGCCTAAAAAATGACATAATTATGATGATGGGAATGAATGCTTATTCAAATATTCCACCTTGAAATTTTTTTTTACTTAAATTGTAATTCATATACATTATAAAGGTGACATAATGTAGGTTTGGTACATCCCTATACACGTGTTTGATACAGCGTATTTTATAGGCTTGTTCATCATCTTTCAATCTGGACTAACTCAGTAATCATTTTAGGGACGATTTCTAAACGAATACTGACTGAAAACGAACAGTTCACACCGTGGTCAGACCAAACTGATGTGGCAACTGATCTAAATGTAAAGATCTGATAGCAAAGTAATCAAAAGGTTAAGGTTCAATTGGTATTTCTGCTGTAAATTTTGAAAGTAATAATAATGATGGTATTCATTCTGATAATGATGAAGAAGAAATAAATGATGATAATGATAATGATGATGATGATTTTATGATGATGATGAAAACGATAATGATGATGATGATGATGATTTGATGATGATGATGATGATGATTTTATGATGATGATGATAATGTGATGATGATGATGATAATGATTTTATAATGATGATGATGATGATAATGTGATTATGATGATGATGATGATGATGATGATGATGATTATGATGATGATGATTTTATGATATTGATGATGATAATGTGATAATGGTGACGAAGACAGTTTAATTTGTTAGAAATATTTTTTCAATTTTTTTTACAAAATTTTAAATACTTTGATATTTTAGATATCAACACCTAAATAAAATTGTTTGACACACTTCATTTACGTTTAAGTTATTACATTGTGTACTATCTTGTTTTTTTATTACCACTTATGATATGACAGTACATAGTATACTCCATTGCCATTTATTTAACCCGTAAAAAGCAACAACAACATTTTGCTTACCCGAATAAATTTTGCATTTTTATCTCCTTCGTCCGTTTGATTAATGTCCATTGCTGACATCGATCCAATTAACACGAACAACGCTGTTGCTATAAGCTCTGCTATAACTCCTCGCCATAAATCCCAACTCTTCAACTCGGTCAAAAGGTTGAATTTCCCGGTACCAGGCCTTACTCTAAGTTCCTCGAGCTTACTGGCTATGTGAAGAAAGTAACCTTCCATCTCTCAACACGAAAACGGCAGTCACTTAACACTGAAACAGTTAGCACTTAACTTTCATAAAGAAGTCAGAAATTAAACAAAAACACTTAACTTGGAAACTGTTACCACTTAACACAGGCGCTGCATCCACTTAACACTGAAACATCGCATACATAACTTAATTCATGAACAGCGACCATTAAACACTGAATCATTGCCAACTTAACACTGAAACCATGCCCACTTAACTGTTATGAATAATAAACTTAACACTGAAGCTGTGACCACTTAACACTTGACCAGAGTCCACTTTACTATGATATGATATGCCTTTATTTACTGATACATTTACAACGTAAGTTCTTTGCACAGCCTCAGTTGATGATTTTAAGGACACAGAGTCTATGGAAAATTAAATGACCTTGGTCATAACGTCTTCATTCTAAAGTGCAGGGTTGCAACAGAGATCTTCATTTTGACCCATTTAAATATGGACTTAACATTTTAGTCACTGTTTCTATGGCAATATGATATAATTTGGAATGAGTTATTAGGTATAATCAAATTTGGTATATAGCAACCTTATGTGAAAACCTCGGTTGGGATTGCTTTTGGGCGCCAGGGGTCAAGGTCACTGTTAACTAAAAATAGAAAAATGGTTTCCTGACAATAACTAGAGATTGAAATCAAATTTGGTATTTAGCAATCTTAAATAAAGCTTTTGGGGTCAAGGTCACTGCTACTAAAAGTATAAAAATGGTTTTCGGACAATAGAGTTAGGAGTGAGATATTGTAATCAAACTTGGTATATAGCAAGTTTATATGAAGACCCCGTTTAGGATTGCTTTTGGACCACTTGGGTCAAGGTGCTAAAAATCTAAAAATAGAAAAATGGTTTCCGGTTTGGAATGTGTTATTGTAATCAAATTTATTATAATATATAGAAACCTTATGTGAAAACCCAGGTTGAGATTGCTTTTGGACGCCTGGGGTCAAGGACACTGTTACTAAAATAGATGAAATGAATTGAGCTATTGGCAAGAACACTTTGTTTGCGTTTGCATCTGTAGACCCTTTTAGCTTACTGGGCGACAAAACATTGTGTTAGGTTCGACCATGTCTAAGGCTATGTCTTACGTCGTCCGTCCTTCCACATATTTTTTCCCTTTAAACAACTTTTTCTCTTATGCCAATGTATCCATGTTGACAAACATTCGTGAGTTAAAAATACAAAAAAAGGAAGGAAAAGCCACCAACAGTATAGAGATTGGTCGGACTGCGAGAATGTTCACACTGGCCTGGCGCTACTGATGGCAGATGCTAACCAGTTCCGGTTCCAGCAGGTTAAAAGGTTAAATGTAGTTTTTAGCTTAGGACTCATTTTGACAAAAATCAATCAATTTTGCAATTTTATTTATTTTTGTTAAACAAGCAGAATAAAAATATTATTGGAGTATCCGCAATAATTCGGATTCATCCGAAAAGCTGTATATATGTATATAATAACGCGATGTATATAAAACATACATGTAATAAATAACAAAAGAAAATACAAAAAAACAGGAAAGCTCCTTCAATTGTTCGCCCAAAAGTTTACCACCATGGTAACAATGTATTTTACGGCAGGTATGCAATAACAGTTATTATTTTCGTTATTGATAATCTACGCCTTTTCCATGATTGTTCACTTATTTCAATCCATGACCGATTAATCTATGTTACCGCTTTTTTCTTTTCATGATGACTTGCTTTCAAGATAGATTGCTCTACGTTTTCGCTTTTTTCTGCTCATGACTGATTGATCTTTGTTTCCGCTTTTTAATATCCGTGATAGACTGAACTACTTTTTGCTTCTTTCTATACCTACCTGGCTATTCATGATCTGTAATTTTTAAATGCCATAGCGATATTATGTTGTAATAATTAATAAGCATGTCCCTTTCAATGTTCTTGCAACACATGCAGATAGTTATGACATGTCTTATTATTCATTTCGAATACATATCTTTAGTATGTGAGAAATTTGTACAAATAATGGACTCCCTAAATAAAAAAAATCCCATAGCATTATCAATCAGCTGCCTATGTTTCATGATAGTGCGATTCATCATGTGTAAAATCATCAATTTTAACTCAAAACGAGTAAGCCTACACATGTGTTAACATTGTCCACGTGAATTCGATTAACATATGATATATATTTCAATGTCAAAAGAAGTAGAATATATACAAATATTAATGCCTTTTTTACATCTTTGTCATTGTACTTTCAACTCATATATGGTTTATGATTCCAACGTCTCTAAAGATAATGTTTATGTTCCAACGATTCCTCAACGTTTCGTAATCAAATATTTATGAGTTTCATACCTTTAATCACGTGCGGGCGGTTGAATAACATTATATTGTTGTTGTTTTTTCATCTTTACGCAAAAGGAAAGAGACCACAAAAGGATAATGTTATGCTTTTTTTTCGCGTGCATTAATGAATAAGCTTTTTTTAATTTAAGGCATTTGCAAAATAACAATTTATCTCCCGGCATTATGTAATGGTTTTGCATATCAAACAATTTATTGCATTATTTCTATGACTATTTAATTGAGAAAAATATCTGTTCTTTAAAATTTCTATTAAAGCTAATAATATTCACTAGCTCTTTCCATACATTAATCATGTTTTCTAACCGACAATTTATCATCACCAAGTTTCCTTATTCCTTTTGTACCATTTCCCTTGTAATTGTATCTACAAATGATGCGAACAAGAAACCACATTGTTTGCCACGACATTGCCGTTAGATTTGTCAGTTTTCTGTCCTGCAGAAAAGTAGTCCTTCGGGATGACAATCATTTCTGTATCGTTCACTGAAATAAAATAGTTGGACATGTTTTACATATAAGGCTAAGGAACACATGAAACAAGAACCGGTTGAACCGGATGATGCTCCCCGAGTAGGTTTTGGACACAGAATTAACAAAGGGCAAAAACTCCAAAATTAGGCAAAACAGAATTATGATTATTTGCACTGCACTTTCTATTCAATGAAATCTATCTACCTATAAATTTGTGTGTTGATATTTCTTATAGTTTCAGAGTTATGCCCCGGGTAAAGTTCAAAGTGGAAAAATGAACAAAGGGCAATAACTCAAAAATTAGGCATGGCTGTGTTTTGGGTCTTTAGCATTGCACTTCTATCCAATGAGAATTATCTACCTACAAAGTTCCATGTTGATATCTCTTATAATTTTAGAGTTATGTCCCTAACAAAATGCAAGTATAAATATGAACAAAGGGCAATAACTCCAAAATAAGGCAAGACAGAGTTATAATTCTTTAGCACTGCACTTCTACTCAATGAGATCTTTCTCCCTACAAAGTTTCATGTTGATAGTTTTAGAGTAATGTCCCGGACAAAGTTCAAGTATAAAATTGGAAAAAAGGGCAAAAACTCCAAAATAAGGCAAGAGAGAGTTATTGTTCTTTAACAATACACTTCAACACAATAAGATATATCTACCTACAAAGTTTCACGTCGATATCTCTTATAGTTTTAGAGAAATGTCCCGGACAAAGTTCAAAGTGTAAAAAATGAACAAAGGGCAATAACTCCAAAATTAAGCAAGACAGAGTTATGGTTTTTTAGCACTGCACTTCTACTCAATGAGATCTACCTGCCTACAAAGTTTCATGTTGATATCTCATAAAGTTTTAGAGTTATGTCCTAACAAAGTTCAAAGTGTAAAAATAAACCAAGGGCAATAATTTAAAAAATAGGCAAGGCAGAGTTATGGTTTGTAAGCATTGCACATCTATTTAATGAAATCTATCTACCTACAAAGTGTCATGTTGATATCTCTTATAGTTTTAGAGAAATGTCCCAGACAAAGTTCAAAGTGTAAAAATAAACAAAAGGCAATAATTAAAAATTAGGCAAGGTAGAGTTACGGTTCTTGTACATTGCATATCTACTCAATGAGATCTATCAAACTACAAAGTTTCATTTGATACCTCTTAAAGTTTTAGAGTTATGTCACGGACAAAGTTCAAAGTGTAAAAATCAACAAAGGGCAATAATTCAAAAGTTAGGCAAGCAGAGTTACAATTCTTGTACACTGTCCATCAACTCAATGAGATCTATCTACCTACAATTTAAAGTTTCATGTTGATATCTCTTATTATTTTAGAGTTATGTACCGAACAAATTTCAAAGTGTTAAAATAAACAAAGGGCAATAATTCAAAAATGAGCAAAGGCAGAGTTACGGTTCTTGTGCACTGCACATCTACTCAATGAAATCTATCTACCTACAGAGTTTCATCTTGATGTCAAAGTTATGTCCCGGACAAGAATAGCAGAGGAACGGACGGACGGACAAAGCGGCTACAATATGCTCACCCTTCGGGGAAGAAAACCAAAGGTTAAAGGTCAAATGGCAAAGTAGGGTCAAATGGCAAAGTGTACAGAAAGCCGAAATGTCGAACGGCAAAGTGTATAGGAAGTCAAATGTTAAAAGAGAAGGCTATAGAGTTAAGTTCAAATTTGTAGAATTCAAAAGGTCAAATGTGTAGGTCACATATTTGACCAAAAAAAAACAAACAAAAAAACTGATTGACTAGTAGCAGGGACAATGGTTGGTAAAAACTGTATTTTTTCTTCCGTAATATGCACACAAGGTTTACAATAGGTTGATGCAAAAAGATTACTGAATTTTATTTCTCCAACTAGTAGCACTTTCATGAAAATAGCTACACTACACTACAAAAGTGTCCATAAATAATATATGGTAACACACTGAGATACTTACTTAGTTCCTTTGCCGCCCATTTGTACGACACATGTTTGCGATAGGGGTTAAAAACAAACTTGTAAACTACGGCTGCTACTATACCACCGGCAATAGGTCCAACCCAGTATACCTAAAATAATAATAATAATAATTATAATAATATAGATATAATAAATAAATATGAAACGATCATTTTATTACATTTCTTTCAAAGAAAATATTACTCTTTTTTCATCAAATGGAAATATACATGTAAATAACCTCGACATGATGCGAAATAAATTATATGGTAAATAAGGTTCTTTTATACTCAAATTATTTATATATAATGAATAAAATAAACATACGTCCTCTTACCCAAAGGTCTTTGAAATACTTGGAGATGACAGCTGAGCCAAGGGACCTGGCAGGGTTCATACTTGCTGCAGTGAATGGAATCTAGAATATTGATACAAAAGATACATGTATGTGAAGGCATGGCCAAGTGTTTAACACGTCGTATAAGTAATCAAAGGATCGCCATACAACCATACAAATATAATAGAAAACTCTACAACTCATTTGACTATAGGTCAAACTTCTTGACATTTTCTGAAAGAATATCATTTAAATATACTTTCTGTATCTCCCTTCCGTATTTTCTATGAAAACGTTTACAAAATGTCAAGTTTTTGATGTTCTTGGCTGTATGGACGCTTGTCCGATTTTTTTTCTCACGAGTGCCAAAACGTGCCGAAATATAAGCCGAAATAATCCGGCATTTTACGATTTTATCATGAAAGTATAGTGTTAACACCCAGGTATGGATAAATACTTACCGCAGCTAAATGGACAACCGCAACGGTGAACCCGATTCCAATCGCCGGGCTTCCAAACAATGGTCTGTTCATATCCGTACATCCCATTATAGACATTACGAGAATAAAAGTAAATATGATTTCACAGCCAAGTCCCTGTCCAACATTAAGTTCTGGGTTGATTGTGGTAACGGCAAGGTTGTTATGTAGTCTTGAAGGGGTGAACCTGTTAAATACAACTTAATACAATAAAAAAGTTTTGTAAGTTCAACATTTTGAGACCGCCTCCGTGGTCGAGGGGTTAGAGTCGATGACTTCTAATCCAGTTATCTCTCTGGCGTGGGTTCGATCCTCGGAAGATGCTTTGGTAGTTTAACGCGGAGGAAGGTAGTTTAGTACTGGTGTAACTCTCCAGGAACGATGGTTAGGAAACTACCCGCCTATATGACTGTAATACTGTTGGAAAAAGGCGAAAAATGAAACAAACAAATGAACAACATTTTGAGCATCAAATGTCAAATTCAGTATACATTTGTAGCTTGAGCTCTATTATTGCTAAATTTGTATGTAAATTAAATACTTTCTTATTAAAACACTTAGATTAAGTTATTATTATTGAAATAATAATGTTTTGGTTAACATTTATCCAAATCAAGAACATAGCAAACATTTATACATAGCTGTTACAATTTTCTCCCTAGAACATTTACGCAGTAATTTCTCTATTGCGTGACGTAACGCCGACAAACTCAATGACATCGAATTGTGTTTTGGTACCTGTATTACAGATACAATATTACACAGAAAATATATTATACAATAGCCTTACAATTTCAACAGGAACGATCCGAGTATCCCTCCCCCACTCTGTGCACAAACATATAGAAACGCTCGCGTCGGACTGATCCAGTTAGCAACAGCCATCGCTATGGAAACAGCAGGATTCATGTGACCTCCGGACACGTGACCAATCATTTGTATACATACAGTTATCATCAATCCAAAAGTAAAGGCGATCTGAAAATCAAAGTACTGATGGTTGATAATTTTTGAATTTAGAAATATTATTATAAAAATAATTCTATCAAAACTGTTCTGCACTGGAACGTTACTTGGAATAGGGTGTTGTTTACAATTAACTTTCCAACCAAAACACGTTTTAAACTCAAAAAGCACGTAAGGTAACAACTATAACTTCTCGGAAATAGTCACTTTCGGTAGTTTGTAGGAAACTTGGAAGAAATAGACTTTGAGTGGAAAAAAACGATGGCTCTGTTTAGAGTAAATTTGGGGGCGTTATTGGCTTACTTTAAACAATATTTTTTGTAACCTTTAATTTCAATAATAAATTGTGTAATTTTTTTCTACGAAGTTAGAAAGCTTTAAAATGTCTCCGTAGAAGGGGCGTTATTAATCTGCAGGGTTGTACATATGTAAATGCTCAACTGCTTAAATATGTAACTATTAAGCTGATAGACTGTCTTTATGTAAATTATAACGAATATCAATATAAATATCATAATTCGTCTTTAATGTATTCAATTTCAAACGCATTTCCTACTATGTTAATTTCGATCGATTGATTTCACGCTAAAAAGATTTCCCATCCATCCAATTTATACACGCTCACAACTTTGCCTGATTTGCACTGGATCTTCGTACTTTAATAGAACAGATTCTACACGATAACATCATGTTTAGCGCTAGTGTTAATTAGCTAAAGTCGAACAAGGGGATTGCCAGTTAATCAATTTGTAGAAATATTCTATATTTTTAAGTACTGAGATCTTTTAATATTGGGCGTTGGCCATGTTTGCACTTTTCCAAATTTGTTCTATTTTCCTAAGACGCATTGTTGTTTTAATGCCTATCAAGACTTTAGTGGTTTTAGTGGTAGTTCTTAATTTTGCTTCCAGATGCTTCATTATCACGCAGATAATATACTTACTCAAGTTTTAAAGGCACATCACTTCTCGTAAATGAATACAGTCAAACTTGTGTGTAAGACATTCATTAAAGAAAGCAGTATTGACTATGATATACTTTGTCATATAAACGGAGCACAACGTAAGGACAGAAGTATTTTGTCTTCTAAATTTAAATATCTTTATGATTTGCAAAAAAAAACTACAACAACAACAGCTTTATCTCAAATTAGTACAGTTTTAGAAATTTAACAAGTGAGCTTTTTGGAATTGAAAATGGCAGCAATTTTTGGGGGCTAAAATGAGCCTTAAATTTAAATGACGTGAACAATACGTTGATAAATATACTTTTGTTTTAAGACGCATCTAAAATATATTTAAACACCTCTTAAACCTAATCTGGTTATCTTTTTTCAACGACGAGAGAGGAGTGGTTTGGTCTTGCATCGTTTATTTACTGATAACTAATCGAAATTAAAGTTATGCATCTTACTAAATTGCATATCATTTTAATGCATAAACGTGACTTAATTATAGTCGATAATTCACGTTCAGCTTTTAAGTGCATACATTTCAATCTCGGGTACATTAAATTTCAGATACTGTGCCAGTAAATCGTGCAGTTTATGTATATCAATATAATATTCCATTATGATGTAAAAGGCAGGGAGTAAATACCAGTTTTGAAGAAATTCACGTACTCACTACTTGAGTGGCCTGAAAAAATGACATATGATAACCGGAATGAATGCTTCAAATATTCCACCTTGAAAGTTTTTTTTTGTTACCATACTAGGGCCTTAAAGGTGACATTATATAGGTTTGGTACAAGTCTATACACGTGTTTGATTCAAATATACAGTGTATTTTTTGGACTTTTTCTGGACTTTTTATCATCTTTCAATCTGGACTAACTCAATAATCATATGAGGAAGATTCCTAAACGAATACTGATAGAAAACAAACATTGCATACCGTGGTCAGACTAAACTGATGAGACGGCTGATTTAAGTTTGCACTGGTTACATAAGTAGATCCAATAGCAAAGTAATCAAAATGTAAAGGTCCAATCAATATTTATTGCTGTAAATTTTGATAGTAATGGTGATGATGATGAAAAAAAGATTAAGATGAAGAAATAGATGATGATGATGATGGTGATGATGATGATGATGAAAAAGGTTATGATAAAGCAATAGATGATGATGATGATAATGATAATGATGATGCTGCTGCTGCTGATGATGATGAAGAAGAAATAGATAATGATCATGACGAAAAAGAAAATGATGACAATAATAATATTATGATGGTGATGACGATGATGATGATGATGGTTACGAAGACAGTTTAACGTGATAAAAAAGTGTACACAAAAGTTTCACAAACTTTAAATACTTTGCTGTTTTAAATATCAACTTCTAAACGAAATACATTTTACACACTCCATTTACCTTTAAGTTATTATTTTGCATACTAATTTGTTTTTAATTATCCCTTATGATATGATCGTACTTAGTAAACTCCATTGCCATTTATTTACCCCTTAAAAAGCAACAACAAAATTTTTCTTACCCGAATAAATTTTGCATTTTTATCTCCTTCGTCCGTTTGATTAATGTCCATTGCTGACATAGTTCCAATTAACACGAACAACGCTGTTGCTATTAGCTCGGCTATAATACCTCGCCACAAATCCCAACTCTTCAACTCGGTCAAAAGGTTGAATTTCCCGGTGCCTGGTCTTACTCTAAGTTCCTCGAGCTTACTGGCTATGTGAAGAAAGTAGCCTTCCATCTCGGAACACGGAAACGGCAGCCACTTAACACTGAAACAGTTAGCACTTAATTTTCAAAAAGTAGTCAGTTAGAAGCTAAACAAAAAACACTTAACTTGGAAACAGTTACCACTTAACACAGAAGCTGCAAACACTTAATCCTGAAACATCGCATGCATAACTTAATTCTTAAAGCATTTAACATAGAATCATTGAAACCATGGCCACTTAATTGTAATAAATCATCCACTTAACACTGAAGGTGTGACCACTTAACACCTTTTCTGTGATATGATGTTGGTTGATATGGCTTTTCCTTAACTCATACATTGTTTTCAGTTTTGTGTATGCTTTATGATGCGCCATTTTATCCCATTTTATATTGAGAAAAATACTCGTATCTATCTATAAACATCTCCATCTTATCACTAACACTTGACCACTTAACTCTGAAACAGGAACAGTAATTTACACAAAAAAAGCAAAACAAAACGCGTATCACATTGCGAGTTCATAAGCGATAAAAAAGGCAAATGAGCTTAAACGCAATGTTGAAACTAAGCATTAGTTGACAATCGTGCTATCTGTGATTTATCACGTGACCCAGCTTTGAAATGCTTCTGTTATAATTAGAAAAATATCGACCATGTGCCTGATATCGCCAAAAGCAAAAAAAAATAAAAATATTTTTGCTTAAATGAGAACAATAAGTATAAGGGAAATTGATTACAAATAATATTTTGACTTGAAATGACAGGTTTATATTCCTTATTTATATATATTATAATACTGCACGTTTGTAACGTCATTTTTCATTGGATAATCGTGACGTTTATATAGTTTTATATACACGGCTGCTGTCGATTCATGAAGAAATCTTGATTTTTTCTCTAAAAATGATGCTTGCTGTATTATAAATTCGTTATAAAGATTGTTGACAGGTTATATGGCCGTATATAAACGGCTGTTTGCAATATAACCCTCGCCTAACGGCTCGGGTTATGTTTACAAAAAGCCGTTTATATAGGGCCATATAACCTGTCAAAGATCTTTATAACTAATAATATAATCATATATAAATATATCGTACTGCTGGCTAATGTCACATTTAATCTCTTTCATTTTTTAAAGTAAACAAATATTGGAATTCAAATGTGGAGATAAATTAAGTACATGTAATACAAATACATATTTCCTAGCATTGACGGCAAAATTTAAATAATCTCAAAGATACATCGCCGAAGCCCCTCCATTCTCTTTGTTCTCAATGGCTGTGCGAAAAAAAAAACACATGGCAAATCAAATAAGCTTCTGTAACAAAAAAACAAAACAAAAAAAAACAAAAAAAAAACAAAACAAAACAAACAAATATTATTCTTTTACATTCTATAAATATGATTTAATATATCACAATATTCTTTTTCTTCCATATCGCACTAAGATTTAATCTTGATGTGTATACAGACATGTATAGCTACATTCTCATTTACATCCCGGCAGAGCCCCGGTAGACGTCCGGGGTGATCCGGGAACGACCGGGGCACTACCGGGAACAACCGGGGTACATCCGTAACTCTGCCGGCAACGTCCTGGATGATCCGGGATGATCCGGGTACATCCGGGATTCGACCCCGGATGGAATAAAATATTTAATATCACCGGGGTGGTCCGGGATGATCCGGGAAGGTATAGCTTTGCCGGCTTCATCCTTAGCTCTGCCGGAAACGACCGAGGTTATACCGGGAAAGCACCGTAGCTCTGCAGGCACACACCGGGGATGATCCGGGGTTTGATATAGCCGGTAGAGCTACGGTAAAGCCCCGGTATATGCCGGCAGAGCCCCGGTAACTACAGACAGAGCCCCGGAGGATAAAGGTAGAGCTACAGTTGATCCCGGTAGAGCCCCGGCAAAGCCCGGATCATTTCAAAAGAATAAAGACAATTTGCGATGATTGCACTTGTTTGTATTAAAAGCCTTCCAATTTCCTTTCTATCCAGTATGGCATAAGGATTTTTTCAGAAAATCATCATGAATTACTATTCTGAAACAATATTAAATAAAAATTATGTATCAATGTTATCATTTTCGGGCGTTTTCAATCCACCGGGGTTCTACCGGGGCTCTGCCTGGATCGTCCTGGGCTCTGCCCGGACACTGCCTGGATCGACCGGGGCTCTGCCTGGGTCAACCGGGGCTCTTCCGGCGTCATCCAGGAGCGACCGGGGAAGCACCGGCATGAACCGTAGCTTCACCTGGGCTCTGCCTGGATGATCCGGAGCGAATCCTGGGTGGTTAGTAGGGAACTACCGTAGTGCTGCCGGGATAAGTGTGACGCAACAATAATAACATCCCGGATCGTGCCGGATCGTCCAGGTAACTAACCGGGATGGTCCTAGGCTCTGCCGGGAGTAAGTGAGACCGAGGCTTAAAATTAAGGCCTTTTTCGTGCTAAATGCATTTAAAACCCGAGCTCACAGGATGTTAGATGGTACTGCACAAAAAAGATTCATTAGCGCTATTATTGCATGCATAAAAAATATACGTTTATGTCTGTAAATCAACTTTAAGTTATCTGTTTCTCGTGTAAAAAAACCATTTCGTCATGCGTCCACGTGCTATTGCGAAGATACTTAAACCCCTGTCACACTAGGACGGCGTTCTCACGGCGTCCAATGAAACTTCAGAACGCCGAGGTGAGCGCAGTAAGATCGCAAACATCGCCGCAGCATCGCCGTAGCATCGTAGTGGCATCGCATAGAACGCCGACCGACGGCGCGCATTTTGAGCATGTTCAAAACAAACGCCGTCACTCGGCGTTCTAAAGTGAGCTCAGTGGGATCGCAGTAAGGACGCCGTAGCAACTCAGTAACATCTCGTACAACGCAACAGGAGCGCCGTGAAAGCGCAAAAGGAACGCCAAATGAACGCGGTGGTTATCCACGGCGCTTGTACGGAGTTTGTGCGGCGTCCTAACCGCGCTTATACTGCGTGTGCACGGCGATTTTACAGAGTTTTACGATTTTTAGCGCAGTGTGAATGCCGTAAGGGCGCCGTATAAGCGCCGTAAAAGCGCAGTGAAAGCGCAAAGAACGTCGTAGAAGCGCGATCTGAGCGAAGACAATCGTCAGTTAAAACGCCGTGGAAGCTCCGTAGCATCGCCATGATTGCCGTGGGGACGCCGTGAAGACTCCATGAAGTCTTCATGTCATCAAAAATATTAGATTTTTCATTGCGATCTCGCGGCGCTTTGTGAAATTTTACAACGCCGTGCAAACGCAGTGAAAGCGCAGTCTGGTGTGACAGGGCCTTAAGGGGACGTCACTGCAAAGCTTTTTTACATTGCGCCCTCAGTTGTGCATATTAAAACGTGCAACAACGACATGTGGTCAAGTCTATCTATCCGTTAATGCATGTTTTCTCTCCCGGCAATGTTAACGTGCATTTTCCGTTTATGCAAGAAAAGTAAATAAAAACCACATTGTCTGAGAAATAAAGTATTCAAATAAAATACTGGAAACAACTGTCCCTTTTAAAAAAAATGTACCGAATATATGTCTTTCAAAGATCAAAGCGTATAAACCTATGTCAATCTGCTTCTAATGTGTTTTCTAGTATATCTTTGATAAAAATCATACCATGAAAAACAGAAAAACAGATTCATTAATAGCAGGCAGAGCATTCGTGATATTATGATTAAACCACTTCAATAGATTTACAATGAATTGTTAAGAAACATTTTTATTCTGTGTTCCTACATATTTCACGCCGTGTATTAATTTTTTTAATTAATAAATGTACTTTTTATTAAATGTCTCACCAGAAATGACCACACAGATAATAAAACTTCAAAAAGGGAAGCGGTGACCTAGTGGTTAACGCGTTTGTCTCGTAAGCTAGGGATCGTGAGTTCGAACCTAACTCTTTGAACTTGTTTCCTCATATTGAAACAATAACTCATAGGTCTAGGACTCGAGAAGGGCTAATTAGTAATATAAAATGCACTAACTTGTTTCGTGCTGAAAATTATATATTTAACTTAAATTATTTTTTTTATATCCCTATTTCGTAAACTTCATATAGTAAAGATTTTTAAACTTAATAGAAATAGTCCTTTGCAAGCCTCATATAAACAAACGACGTTGACTTACAACAATAGTCATTCCTATTCTATATTCTATAAGGTATTCTCTAAGCTTATTGATTAAGGAATTCTTTACTTAAATTAATGTATTAGATGAAAATGCATTGTATTCATATGTAACAGTCAATATAAATGTTCGCGTAATAATAAATTTAAGTTGACAGCTAACAAATATTAATATGTAAGATATTATATAAGAGAACATTACATGTCAATAGCCTTATTCAGTAAACAAAATATACGCGCATGTAGGGGGTTTGTTTCTTGATTTTGTAATCGATGACAATGTCTAACAATAAAAATAAGTTCTTTGACAATAAGCAATCAACGTTTAGGAAAACTATTGACAAGGTTGAATTTGATTAATATTTATATGAAACCACGTACGGCAATAACTAAGAAATAGAATACATCAGCAATACAATATGTGCAATTATTGTTTGTATTCACAGCAAGAGGCAGATTTGCGATCGACTGTGGTTTTTCCGTAAGTTTTTTTACAAGCAATAGAAAGTATATTTCTGTTTCGGAAAGCTTTTAATAACATCATAATACAATACACGAAAAAACTTTATCAAATCATAAATCATTAATAAAAAGATGTGCATATTCACAGTTTGTTTTCGTTATCTTATGTCACTGCAACAAGACGTGTTTTATTCAATTGTGGTTCTCAATATAGAAGATGTTGTTCAATATTATAATTCGAATAGCTTACAGAAAAATAAACAATTAAATATTTGAAGCTAATGCTGTTGATTGCAAGAAACTTTTCTCTTAAACAAAACACATATGTGATCTCTGTCCCAACAGTAAAGGCGATATATTAAAGACTACAGAAAAATTCAGCAAGTGAACAATGGCAACAGTGACCTAGTAATTAGCTTTTTTTCGAAACAGAGATCATGGATTCTAGCCATATTGATGTTACGACCACGTTGCCTAACTTCCGCCATGCCAACTTCAGTGATGTTTAAAAGATCTATTTAAAAAAAATAGAATAAAAAAAGATAAAAAAACAACGACAAAAAACGAGCTAAAATAAAAATATATAAAAATCAGCATCATGATCAAAATATATTGACAATTTCATACCAAACTAGGGACTAGCTTGCTTCGTATTTCTAAGAAAGTTGCGAGAGTTAATTTACAAATGTTCATAAATAGCAGTGGTCAGTTACAAGTTGGCAGTTGCTCAAGCACAGACGATTTTATCAATCGAAAACTACTTTCAGACATATCTATTATTGAATTTATTTAAAACAATTTCTGAAAAAAAAAAACATGTTTACGTGCTTGAATTGCATAGCTTTATATTCGATATTTTTCTTTAAATTAAACGTGTTCTATTCAAAATATTGCATCAACTCATTCTAGCATATTTATGCCATAGAGTTCAAGAAGAAACTTATCATTCTTAATAGTTTACATTACACAGGAGATAAATGGGACTTTACATTTTTGATAGAAACAAAACACTATTTAAACATGATTTCATAACGTAAATAGTTACTTTTCTATATCATAATATTTATTATACATTTGTATATTAAACAAGATTACCTTTGAAGAATGTTTCGCTTGTAGAAATATTTCCACAATTTTCTTTAACTTTACACAAGATTCCTTTAATTTCTTATTATAAATACAATTTAAAATGTTCCGATATAATTATTGTATTTCTTACTGGTAAATAAGACCGGAAGAAATAAGACCCACTTTTGTATAATTATTAAAGAATTTCCTTCGATATAATTTATTAAAGTTTTTATGTGCTTTCGATGATATCCATAAATCACTGGTGGCTAATTTTCTCGTACGTGCATTACATCTTATATAACGCTACCTAATTAACATTACTATGACGACGTAGTCAACCGTAACACCTGTATCACTAATATAGACCTAATGCCTGCAATTTAAATATTTTCATTGGACCCATTTTAATATGAGTACAATTTTCGTTTTGAATATTTTATCAAAATTCAGTCCATCATAACTGGTAAATAGAATTCAGTTTTTTTACTTATAATAAAAACATCTAGAAAATTCTATGAAAGTATCTATTTAACCAGATTTAAAAAGTGTGGTCACTCTATGTGCGATCTCCTAAGTTTTAAGAGAGAAAAAAAAATCAATTAAAAGTAAAACTATTTTAGAATTTTTCTGACTTTGCTTATAAGACACACAATTTTAGATTTTTTTAGATAAAAATTATCATTACATTTATGTTCAGTGTGCGTGTCTTAATATTTATGTATTTTTATTTTCATTTGTGAATAATTACCCAATTCAATGAAATACATTTACCATATTAAAGCAATAGGCACTCGCACACAATGACATAGCCCTATTAACAGATTATACTAAAAGCAAAGAACCGGAAATGAATAACATGCATTTTGTAGTTAACTCTATGATCTATTGATCTAAGTATGTTTTGAATAATTGAGTAATTCGATATTTCTTTACAGTTTGCAAAAGTATAATTGATATTTTTTTATTTTTTACAACAACAACAACAACATTTATTAAGCATTAAACACCTGAAAGGTGCATATAGCCAATATTTACAATCATATACTGATGTGAACTTGAAATGAAGCTAAACAAAAAACAAAACATACAGAATAGTCAGAGAAGTATACACGATATCATCCATCTTTTAATTTCTTAAATTGTTCGCAAAGTATATATTATTTGGCAACTTTGTTAACTGTACCTTTTTTGGTGCTCTGACATAAGCTTTTTCAAATTTAAAAATATTGGCCAATGGCAATAAAATCTTTTAAAGTATTTAAGTCTTAGATGTCTGTATTTAGGGCAAAACTAATAAAAAATGGTATTCATCTTCTAATTTATGCATGGTACAATTATTACATAATCTTTCATTCTATCTATGTTGTTATACCTTCCAATTTCGATATGTAGACTATGAGATGAATTTCAACCTACATAATGCGATCTGAAACGTTTATCGGTTATTAAGTTTAAATAATTTTCAAAACAAAGTCGTGCTTAAGAGCGCGTATGATGTAAGTCGACTGAATTATTTATACTTGTATACCATTTCTTGTTTGTATATATCAAGGATACGCTGTTTAATGGACTGAAAATTTATCACTTATATTTGCTTGACTTAACCATACATTTGTCATTCCTATTTCATCAAGTATTTGTTTAACATAACATGCCCAGTTAGAACCATATAATTTTTTCGATTATCTGCATCTGACCGTAAACATATTATATACACTAAAAACTGCACTATTTGTTGGTAGGTTTAAATTTTTATCCAGAATTTTATCATTATAAATTTTCTATGCACATACAGCGGGTATCGTCCAAGCTCCCCATATAAACATTCCCTGTTAGTTGATATTTTTACCCAAGACTTTTCTACAAAACTTGGTATGAATCATTTCAATATCTTTACCTTCATGATATCCCCAAACCTCCGCGCTATAATTCAAGATAGAACTTACAAGACTATCAAAAAGATTACATTTTTGGGACACTGGCAGTTCTAATTGATTGCATACAATAAAAAGATTGTGCAGTGAAAAAGACGCGTGTTGCGCGAGTCTTTTCTGAGTTCGGTTCCAGTTATTGTTCTTAAAAAAAATACCCCTAGATATTTAAATGATGTTACAAGTTCCAGCTTAATACTATTTAAATAAAATCGTACGTTGAGCCCCTATTCCCTGTTTCGAAAATCATCGCTTTCGTTTTATTTGCATTTATTTTCAACGCCCATCTATTACAATATTTTCTAAGTCATTTAGCATAAGTTGCAAAGATATCGGGTTTGTGGCAAAAAGTGCTGTATCATCGGCAAACATGATAAGGAAAAACTGAATTTCATTAACACTAATTACTCCGTCTAAATTTGAGTTTATGTTTTCTTTTAGATCATTCACGAAAAATAAAAATAGCAAAGTGGAACTCGGGTCCCCCTGCTTCAATCCTACCCCCCGATTCGAAAAAGTGGGACGTTGTCTTGTGACGCACACACAAATTTTACTGTTTCATACATAGATCTGATAGTTCTAACAAATCTGGAGCTAACGTTTTGTTGTAAGAGTTTGTTTAAAAGTAATACCCTATCTATTTTATCATAACATTTCTCAAAATCTATAAATATACAAAAGAGCTTTTGACGCTCACTAAGTACTTTTGCAATTAACGAATGTAGAATAAAAATACAGTCTACTGTTGACTTGCCCTTTTGAAAGCCAAACTGGTAAGTGTTAATCTTTTCGTATTTTCTCGACCATTTTGTGAGTCGATTTAACAAGATTTGAGAATAAATTTTCCCCAAGATATTAATAAGGGTAATACCTCTATAATTTTTTGGATCATCCGCATTTCCACTTTTGAAAACTGGGATAATAATACCTTCGCCCCAAGTTTTCGGGTATTCAGCATTCATAAACATTCTGTTATATAATTTAAGTAGAAAAGTGCTAATAATATTAAATGAATTTTTAAATATTTCCGAGGGCAAATTATCGAGCCCGGGGCTCTTTCCATCATTTTGGGAAAATACGGCTTCCTTTAGTTCTAGTAAAGAAATTTCTGCGTCTAACTCTGCATCATATTGTTCGGGAATGTTTAAATTGTTTAAACTTATATTTTCACCCCCAAATAAAGACTGAAAATGCTGGCTGAGATCATTTATGTTTAAATTTTCTGTCCGAGTATTTTGAGGCTTGTATTGCTTTTTACATGTTTCCAAAATTGTTTTGGCTTAGATTTTGCGAAATTTGCTATATTCCTTCCCTCGTTTATCTTAAATTTTTTCTTTTCCCGGAATTTAACTTTATTGTATTCATTTTTTAAATCAAAATAAATATTTCGCAATCGCATATCATTTTTATTTTTTACAAACTGATTTCTTGCTTTTTGTGAATTTTTTCCTTGCTTCGTAACACGCTGCATTAAACCATTTTTTTCTATCGTGATTTAAATACTGCGTTTTTTTGTTATTCGATGTGTGTTGATATTGTTTGCTAAATACTGAAAATGCCGTGTCCTGTAATTAAGTAGTGAATTGACTTACTGAATTTCAATACCGTTAGTCTCTATATTTTCGCATAATAACTGAATCACACTTTGTTGCCCGGCTAGACGCTCCGTAAATACTTGACTTTTAGTCTCGTCCCAAATAACACGTTTATTCTCGTGCGCACTGTCGGGTTTTAAACGGGTTTTATTTACGAAACAGTGTTTGAAGGCAAATGATGGTTGAAAGCAAATGCTGGAGTTCTGAAAATAGATCATATCATCACATTGGAGTTAAAAAAAAAGGTTAAGTTTATTAGATGAAATCTAGTAAGATTTAGAAATGAAAGTTGTCGATGTGTACTGTATATGTATATGATGACTATCAAATTGGTAGAATTTCTTTCCTCATTTTTTCTTTACATAAATAAGTGAAATAGTTCAGTTGTTATTTCTTATGCAAGCGATAAAAAAGTAAAGGTAGATAATTTAAAACAAATGTCATCTGTTTCTGCAAGAACCTACATCGAATATGACATGTTGCATGTAAAGGCAAAGCAAAGAGAGCTAAATAATATTCACACTTACTCCAAAGGTTAGAGAATCTTTGAATGGGCAGATAAGCGGATACTTGAAGCCGCAAACTTTAACCAAATTGATAAGCGGACATATTTTTCAGTTCTATTTGATTTTGATAAAATAATGATTATTCATGGTATAATCTTTATAAGACTTCATCTCTCAGTAACTAAGGGAAAAAATATGGTCACAAAGTATTTATAGTACAAAATCTCTCTAGGTAGACGGGAAAAGTCACGATTGCATTCAAATGATTATCTGCTTATGTGAACATAATCCATTAAATCTGCTAAAAAGATTGCATAATAAAACTTAAGTTACATTGATAGACTACTCGTATATAAAAGTTTCATGATTACAGCTTAGCAAATAATAATAAAAAGATTGATGCATAGACTGAGGCTTTTAAAATGTTTCATTAGCATATCAATACATTTATACATGACTTCTTTGCAGTGATCCTGACTGCATTCGTTAATGCATGTGCAGCAAAAGTAAGTCTGCATTTTCTGAAGCCATTCAGTTAACAGGCATGCTATACATACACAAGATTTTACTTTTAAATTTAAAATCTTAATAGAATCCGTTACATCACTTAAAAACATATTCGTGTTAAAATTATTTTTCATATAAATTATATTCATTTCCTATCTACAGTCATTACATACCTACTTTATAAAGTATTATGGCGTACTTCTGACAGAAAAAAAGGGAAAAAAAAGAAAGAAAAAAAGAAACACACACACACAAATGTTATAATTATATTCGTTTATCTAAGATATTTCAAATATTCACATTTTTTGAAAATCTTTAGTGTCTGAGTTTTAGTAGAAACCATATTATCTAACTATGCATTTATTGAAAATTTATTGCACTGGTAAGATGGCTCGTGAAGTTTAAGTAAAATAGAAGTAGACATAAAATTATGAGACATTTGAAAGTTCCTCATTTAACAAAAGAATCCACTGTTTTAATATTCATTTTGAAAGTAGGTAAAGTTATAGTTTGAATAATTATGAAAACAGCTTGATAGGTTTCCAGGTTACAATAAGACCAGACAAAAATAAGCAAAAGTCCGTAATTAAAGTTAAAGTTAAATCATAATGAACTATGAAAGTAATTGACTATCTTCAATGGTATTTTGTTTTTGTGTGTTTGCACGTATCAAAGAGACGGTTAATGTAATTTTGGGTTTTCAACGCTTTTAATGCG